GGCCAAATCTAGTCTTGTTTATAACCTGCACCTCCACAGTGAAGCTGTTTTTCTTTGAAAAAACAGAAATTGAGCTCATGCTGTGCAGACGTTATGCAGATTCAGTTTAGATGGGCAGCCAATATGAGATCGTGTCCGAGAGCAGAGAAGGGTCAGAAAGCAGGAATTGCTTGGAAGGGGCAGGGAGGGAAACAGAAAGCCCTAATTCTTACCACAGTGCTTCAACGTACCGTATTACAGTCATATTAATGTAATTTGGATGCATTAGGTATCTGTTGTTTTTGTAGTAGAGTATCCAATGGGAATACAGCTTCTCCAAAAAATAGTAACAATTTAGCTAATAATGGTTACAGCCATGATCTCTTGTAGTAATGAGAAATTATTTATGATTATATTTATATTTATTTATTTTATAATTTATTTATACTTATTATTTTCAGGATCAACATACCTTTGTGCATAAATGGGCAGCACTCCAGCAGATCTCTATATCAGTGACTTGTAAGAAAAAAATTGATTTTGTTAACCGTGAATCTGCGGTTTTAACTTGCGTACTTTATGCTATGATTTAAGGCAATGTTTTATGTGCTTTAATCACTCCAGAATGGCAATCGCTGCAACAGATAAGCTAACCTCTTGCTTTCTTTTTCTAGGTTGTGGTAGATGTTTTCACTCACAATTCTTTTTTTTCTCTTTTCTTCCTGAACAACTCGTGTCCTATCAGGTTTGTATTTATTAGTTCTGTGACAAATGTCATAATCATTCAGAAGAATATCATCTCAAAGGAGTGAACGAGGATGTCTGTTATCATTTTCTATGGAAATTTGAAGCCATTATCTGCAGTTGTCACATTAAACCAACCTGGGAATCAGGTTGTGGTACATGCAGTGGTAAAGGAGCACGTACAAGTTCATATAGCAACCAGGAAATGCAGGTTTGGGAAGAATGGGTCATCTACATGAACACGTACGTGGAGATCATTGGTGTTCCTGACCTCACTGCTGTGTTTACCGGTCATGATGCTGCTCCTGCAGTGTCTTCTGTGAGTAGGACGTCTACAAGTTGGTCTTCTCATATTGATATATTACGTAGGATTAGTCCCATTAAATATCTTTTTTTTTCTTTAATACTCAAGATAAAGCAGAGCACTGTCATGGAGAAGAATGCAGGTTTTCCTCTTTCTTGTTTCACTTGCTGTCTGAGAGTGTATGGAAACTGAATTATACATTTGAGCCTGACAGTGAGGAATATGGGGAGATATCCAGATACGATTTCCTGATTACCTGTAACATCGCCTGTCTCTTTCTAAAATTATCCTACTGGAGGCAGGAAATATCAGGTCTATTAGTGAAACGACTGTCCAGCTATTAGTTTTTAGAGCTTTAAATAGTCTTATCTCAGTGGAAGTGTTTGCCCTGTGGCTCATCTATCACCCCTTAAAATGTTTTATCAGCACCTGAAAAATCTCAATAAGAAGAATAGCCTCAAACATTATCCATCCAAGTGGCTTTCAGAGAGAGAATTTATTTTTAAAGAAGTCTTTAAAGATCTGATATTATTTGCTAGCTTTTCTATCCCATTTCATAGCTCCCGCAGCACCACTTATATAAATACTTCTAACCAGCCAAGAAAGGAAATTATAGTAGATTAAAAGAAAAATAGGTTAACAGGCAGCAAATCAATGTCCATTCAGCCTCAGACATCTGTGAAAATAAAGGCTTATAAAGAATTATTGCCAGGTAGTAGCAGTACGAAGACTTTTTTGGGCTATCTTTGTCTTCCTTAACAATAGAGAGTTATTAGGGGGTTCGAAAAAGCCTTCAGTGTAGAAGCCTGATGTATGAAAAATAAGCAGAAAGGAGTTAGAATGCTATAAGCTCTTGCAAGTTAGTCTAAATTTAGCAGTATTTGCCGTATTGATACTAGGAGAATCTCCGTTTTTCTTTTAAAAATGGAAGAATTCGCAAATGTGTACATTTGTTACGTTGAAATTAGTGAACGTGAGATGGACCCAAGGGACATGAGTCACCCATAATTATCACTGCTCTCTTACTGTCTTTTTGCAGGACCTTAGAACTCCAAAGTAGCTGAACCTCTGCCTCATTTGGACAAAGTTACTATGAGGCCTTCATGTTTTCAGTGAATGGAAAGGCAGAAAGGAGAATAACCTCAACAAGGTGCATTCTTTATGTCAAAGGGTTTTTCAGGCAGCGGTTCCACCACCAGAAGATCACTGTATTAGTAACAAAAGGGATGATGGAATGGAGTTTGTAACTTTGGGGTTTTTCTTAAGGGTCCTTTGGTGTTTTAGTTGTAAATTGTATCCGTGTATCATACTAGTAGCTCATTCTCCAAGACTGGGTAAATGTTCTAAAGGTAATTATGGTTTTGATGCAGCTGAAGAGACCCTTGTGCTCCCTGGGCACCATTTCAAGATAGACGTTTGAATAGCGTATGTCTGATGATATATAAGGTCTGATGACATCATATTTGCAACCTTAAGTTCTTCACATTGAAACTGATGGGAGAGCTTTAGCTGTGTTCTTCTGCAGAAGGACATATGTAATGAGTGATGAAGCAGGGAATGAAAAACAGTTGCAAAAAGAAAAAAGAAAAAGTATTAAGCGTTCTATAAGCAAGCTCTTGCTGATGCCTGCCTAGCCTTTCTGAGCAAGGGCTTTTTGTCAATAATAAGCTGCACAAAGTATTTTGGGGCAGGAAACTGCCATTAAAAAGTCAGCTTTGGTGAAACTGTGTAGGTTTTATTTAGAGGGATCAAGGAGTTAGGAACGTATGGTTGTGTTATCAACTCTAAAAGAATGTGTTGGTGAAAGCTCACTGGGCATAGTGGGCACTTAGTGAATCTTCATTTTCAAATGTATTAAAATTCACTTTCAGTGACTTACAGTGCTCTTAAGGCTGAGTGCTTTGGTAAGAAGCAGCTCAGCAGACAACCACAGCTATTGCCCTCAGCAATGAAGAAGGAACAAAACTAGGAATAGAAGGCAGCACTGATACAAGGCAGCGTTCCCACTGATCCACATGCATGTTAAGGAGCTGGAAAGCATCATGGTTGTAGTTCTGAATGTTGCATGTTAGACCTGCCTCTGATTAATGCAGCTTATGTGTTAATGTGGAATGCTTGGTTTTGTTTTGCAGTTCCCTGTGGAAAGTACATTCACCATCTCCAGCCTCTCTACTGCAGCTACCGTGACTCCCTTCTGTTAATTTGGTGGCCACTCAGGTGCGTGTGCGTGATGAGCGGTGCAAAGCGGATGAGCAGCACGGCCGGTGCAGGAGAAGCTTCCCTTGGGGTCTTTAAACACCGTGGCCCTGTCACTGCGCTGCGTAATTGCTAGCGAATGTGCTGTGCCTGGCGTCTCCGCTGCTCTCTTACCGCTCGCACGATGCTGGATGTGTGCAACATTTCCCAGCCAACAAAGGTAACGTGGATGGAAGGAGCTTTCCTGTAAATGGAGTTAGCTGCGCACTAATGATTAACAGCTAAATCAATCGTGTCAGAGGTTGAGCAAGCTGTAGCAAATAGGCACAGCTTGGTTATAGTCTGCAGAGTCTTCTGAAACAAAAAGAAGCAAAAAAAAAAACCCAAAAGGCAAACAAGCTTTGCGCATTCCAAGCCATCTTTCCTAATAGTTTGTCCTCCTTGTGAAGAGAGGACAGGGCAGTTAATCACTGACTGTGTGTTCAGAGAAACTGTCTGAACAACAGTGCTTTTTTTTCTGAGCAGGTCCCACGAGGAGTCAATTAATGGGCTCCTCTGTGTTGTATTGCTGTTCTCGAGGTGCTTAACTCCAAAGACGCCTAAGTCAATCACTTCTTTTTCAGAGACACCGCTGCATAGTCAGAATAGTGTAGTATAAGATAAATATGACACATTAAGAAGTATAACATTTAGCCAGGTAGCTACACTGAGGTTGTCCGTTTTACTGCATTTTAGAGAATATGGGCTATTTTGTCTTCAGCATTTCCCATTCCCATAGGAGCAAATTAAAGTGGAGCCTCTGTATCACGCAAGCAACTGGATGCTTTTTGCCCAGGACAGGCAAGAACTCTGTGATATTAAAAGCCATATTTGCACACTGTTTTGTCCAGTCAGAAATGTGAGCTATCTTCTTCAAAGGACTTTTCTCTCTTTCAGAGATTCAGTATAGAGTAAGACTTACTGTTTTTTTCTCCTTAGGTCTATTGGATCATGAGAGAGAATAACCATTGTGACAGTAGGTAGCAACCACCCAGACCTTTAACTTGCTTCCATGGTCTCAAGGCATCAGGCATACCTGGCTCTGTTTCCTGGCTCAAAAATAAAAGAAAGCACCAAGAAGAAAGGTATAAATAAGATCATTCGGTAGAAAGCACCAAGAAGAAAGGCATAAATTAGATCATTCGGTAGGAGAGAAGGCAGAGAACAGACAGCCTGGAGAAAAGAAACCAAATCAAAACCCTCTAAATAGGAGAAACAATCTCTTCCCAGCCCTCCCTTTGCTCATGAATTTCTAAGTATGGAGTTTGCTCCCTTTAATACCTGTTGCTTTGGTTTTAAAGCTGCATGGACCACTAGATCATCTAATTTGGATGTCTAATCCTAGTAGTTTCCTCTGAAAGACAAATAGACATTAAATCCAGAAATGATTTTATGCTCTTACCTGTTTCTAGAAAGCTATATTTAATTTACTTGTCACCATCCTCCTGACCGTTTCCTTTACAAAGACTTGAGTATTTTATTTCAATTGTTGTAATATTCTTCTTTTTTTTTCAGTGTCTTGAAAGGAGCATTACAAATGAAATTGTAAATTGCTTCCGAGGTGATCTTCATTTTATTCCTCCTTCCCAGCAGAAAGCTGTGTGCTAACAATTACTGAGTTTACCTTGTGAATTTGCCAGGTGGTGGGTCATCTGTTGTTTACTGTGCAGAAAAACGACCTAGTAATTTATCCTTTTCTACTTGAACCGTTTTCAAATCCCCTGGCAGACTGAGGCAGAGCCGAGGCGATTTCTAAGTGCGGGTGGTACCCGGGAGTCATGAGAACATCCCATTCAGCAGTGATTTTGTACACAATCAAACTGTTCCTATTTTCTGCAGTCCTGGGCTTCCTAAATGATCATTGCCTTAGGTAAGTGAGCGTTTCTAAAGAAATATCCGTGCAGGGATATGATAAATGCTAAAATTCAATAACGATTGTCTGCATTTACACTTTATAGTGAATAGTTGCGATCTTAAGCTATTTCTGTACTTCTAGTGAATAGCAAAAGACACTGTTTAAAATTTAGCGTAGTGCAGATGTATCTAATTTTAAAAAGTAATCCTGTTTGTTAAGCTTGATATCATAGAGCACTGAGATTGCATTGTAACGTGGTGGAAATTCGTTTGCTATGCACAATCACTTAACGTGCTCGCTGCCCTAAAGCATTGGAAAGAAGAGGTTCCAGGTTTTGGGGGGCACAGACGTGGAAAGAACTTGACTAATAGTTGTTTCAGTCTCTATTAGCTTAATGCAATTTGGTCTTTCAGAGGACTGTGGTTAATCAGTGACTGTAATGTTTCTGATCTAACTACATTTTTCCACTGTTCTCTGAACTTTGAGCTCTGATTTCACGCATCAGTAGGCTGATGAGTTTTTCTAATTCCTTTATTCCATGCAATTTTAAGGATGCAGTAATAGGAGCCCCTTGCCAGGCATTAGATCATATTTAAAGCTTTAGCTGATGCTATTTCTTATCTTGGTGAAGGAATTGGGGACACCAGTGAGGTATGAAAGGAAAGTAATTGTTTTACTTTAGTTTTATTGCTTACAGGGAATAATAGGTGCTACAAGTAAAGTATTTGTTTGGGATGAGGATTTAACCAGAAATACTGGATCCCTGAAAGACCAGGCAGTGGTTTAGCTGTGGCATCATGGAAGCCTTGAAGCCAGTTGTCCCGTGACTTGGCGAGAGAGTGGTTGGGGTGAAGAGCATGTAAGTTCATTACTGAGATGAATGAGATTGATGAGTTAGTGACTCTTCATGTGAACTCAGAATAGAGTCGAAGTCTAATGTGTCTGCCCAGCTTGAGAAAAAATACCCTGCTTGCCACAAAGATACTTAAGTCTGGTTTTCAAAAATGCTCGGTCTATTTGGGTTGTTTATATTGCGGTTAGTGTCTGTCACGGAGGTCTTTGACCTTGGAGTTGTTCATCATGCCTGACAGCAAGGCACGGAAATACTGCCTGTACAGCAAGCAGCAGGTAAGTGGGGAGAAGGACAGGAATTGATGGTGCAGATTTCTTTGCAGGCCACTTTGCCAGGTTATTTTGCAGGGCTTGTGCAGCTTGAGATGAAGCCCTGGTTGTTGGCATTTCCACCCAAGCTGGCTAAATCAAGCTGCAACCGCCCTCCTGAGTGATCTGCACGTGCTGCCCTCAGGCTCATAGTGCTGTACAGAGCTGGATCTACTCTTGGACATTGAAGAGTGGACAGGTTCCATACAGAATTAAAACCAGTGTGTGGTCAACACTGAAATCTAGAGATTGCATTGAAGAATCAGTGAAGTCTAACAAGAATTAATTATTTTTGGCATGTAGAATTCCACATGTCTAGGTGAAGCTGTTCTGTCCTCACACCTCAGTGATTTCACACGTTGAAGCTGTCGTGTGTTGTTGAATGTAGTGGTGAAAAGGAGCCCCTTGAATTGAGTGGCACCAACGCGAGCCTGGCCAGAGGCAGGTGGGTCCGATCCGTGAGCAGTCTGCCGCAGCCCATCGACTGTGTGCTCTCCAGTTGGTCCTCGTGGAGCAAGTGCGATCCCTGTCAAAAGAAAAGGGTGAGTGTTTGTGATCCAAGCAGGAAGGCTGAGGAAATGTGAGGCAAGACCTTCTCCAGACTTTGTCTTAGTTTGTCCATGGGGTTGGAGAAACAGCTGGGAGCCACCGAGGAAAGCACTCTGTTCTGCAAGTGCTGATGCAGGGAAGGTTGCAAGCATTGGCTTTCAGGTGGCTTTTAGCTCTCTCCAGCTCTTCACCCACCTATTAACATCCCACTGCTGTCCTAGGAAGGTCTGAACCCAGGCTCTTTGGAAAAAGGAGGGAAGCAGAGCCCATCGGAGGGCCACTCCATCCAGTACAAGCATTTTCTTCCAGGAGTCCTGCTAATGTGAGGCATCCTCTCTTCTAATGGACCTTGGTTGACCTGGAGACCCCCAGTGTCTTTGAGGAGTAAAATGTTTTTCCTTATCGTTCAGTGAGCTTTTTCTGCCCAAAGAACCCCATCACACTGAGGTAGTGATGATAGCAGCAGAACGGGCAAAGCATCCTTAGCTCCCTACCATGCCAGGCTGGCTGGAAGGAGCTTTGCTAACAAGCTGGAAGAGCTGTCCTCTGGCCTCAGCCAGAATAATCAGTTCTGGGAGCTGGGCAAAGTGAAGCTTCCTATCAAATTGTTAATCCTAGTAGCTGGAAAAAGGAAGGAGGGATAACATCTTGGATAGAGTAATTGACTATTTCACAGCAGTGTTGTGAGTGGAAAAAAAATCCCTAGCAGTACAGAACACCAAGTGATACCCAGACAGAAAATAACAAGGGATGTCGTTACCACTGTTAATTTACTGGGAGGAAATAGAACTGAATCCTTCCTTACTCTTTCAAAAAACAACACTGTCCTGTCAGGCTCATTTAAACAAGCTGTCAAATAAAAGCAAACTTGCCTTCATCCTTTTCAATCCTTGCCTAGTAAAATTAATACTCTCCCAGATTAGAAACCATCCAAATGAGATACATTAACAGCATCTCATTTCTCAACCCTACCCCTTGCTTTTTCTTATGGCACTACTCTTGGATCAGATCTCCCCAGTGCAGATTTTTATTAACTGGGGAACCATAAAATTTGGGATTTCTATACACATGGGTCAATATCTTTTATTTCTTCACAGTACAGGTTTGCTCGCCTGGAACAACCTTCTCAGTTCAATGGAGATCCATGTGATCAATTTGATAAAGAAACTGAAGACTGTGTTACAAATAGTCCTTGCAGAAATAAAGTTAGATGTGAAGGGTTTGAATGTGCAATTACAGGTAAGCACTTTCTGAGTGAGAAATGATGCTGCTCAGTTGACTTGTGTGATAACAAGTCACACAAGTCACAACACCCTGAATTTAGTGCTTTTACAAGAGTTTTTGCCTGGCTAAAGATACTTTAGAAGTTGACCCAAGTCCATTCATGCTTGTGCTGTGTTTGTATCACTGCTTTGGAGTGACTCTGTTAGCCAGTGTCAGTCCAAAACTTGCTCTAATGATCCCTAAGAGTGAAAGAGTCCAGGAGAAGTTGTCCATGGAACCACAAAGTGGGGAAACACCCAGAGCAGCAGGTTGGTAGGATGCAGCTGGAAAATCTGGTGCTACAATGAAGACACATCCAGTGTGTGGAGCACTCTTTACTGCCTTGTTGGTGCCTGTCTGGTGATGATGGGTCCCCAGCCAGCACCCTTGGGTGCTGAACAGCTTGGGCTGCTGAGACTAAAGCTCTTCTCCTGCCAGTAATGGGCGTCCTCGTCGCTGCTCGTCTTCTCACCTCTGCGACTGCCATCACGTCTGTGCCGACTAAACAACAAAAAAAAATAATTTTGGAGCAAAACTGAGCTGTTGGGGTTTGGGTATTAAGTATGCATATGGAAAATCGCTGATAAGAATTATCTTCCAGGTAGTTGTGAACAACACATTGCAGCAGTCTCTTATTGTGCTTCTAAACTTTTAGAGTGAAGGACTGTGATTTTGCAGTGTTATTGCCAAGAATAGTAGGAGATTATTTCATGAGTAATTTGCACATTGCATCCTAGGAAGATGCATTACGCGGAGGCTGCTTTGTAATGGGGATGATGACTGTGGGGACCAATCAGACGAAAAAAACTGCAAAAAAGTGTTTAGAAAATGTGACCAGAAGATGGAGCAATACTGGGGAATAGAGAATCTGGCAAAAGGGTAAGTCGATGACCTTAACAAGAATCATCTTTTTTAAGGATACAACACATTTTATGAGGCCTCAAACATAAATATTGACCCAGGAAAGGCTGTCACTATCCAGGGATTGTGATCCAATAGTCCTTGGACCGTCCTCCAAAGCCCAGGGGGAAAATTCCTACTGACTCAATCAGTATTTTAGAAAGAGACATGGTGAGTGAAAAACCGGAGCACCCAAGTGTGTGGGGTACACAGCAAATCCTACAAAATAGTATTTCATAGGATTCAAACATGGGTGCAAATAGATCCTGGAAGTGCCTGTGCATGGGCTTTATATTGCCAAAACTTGTGAGGTGAGAGAAGACAGAAGCACAAGTGTCAGACACTTCTAAAATATCTACAGGTATGTGCGTTGCCCTACACTTCAGAAATTAATTGGCGAGATGGATTCTATATTCCAATTATTTTGCAAAGATATAATTAGCCTGAGGCCTAATTCAATGTGTGAGGAGCGGGAATGTCCTCAGTGCCTTTAGGAATCAAGAGACCACTTAAAATTGTGGCTTTGAAATAAAACACAAAGGAGGGTATATTAATATCTGCGCAGACAGTTATATCATTCTTCAACATCTTGATTTGCCTAAACTCTGAACTTAACTATGGATTTGTATTTTGCACTGTGTTAGTCTTGACACAGCCAAAATTTCCTGGAGAAGCTTCTAACATTATTGGAAGATGGTAGAATTTTTGGCCTTTGCTTGAATGGGGCAGGATTTAACCCATATATGCATAAGCACCAGCTCTGTGGGGATTTAAATCCATATCTGTGTGGATATCCAGCTTGCACAGACCCAGTTTATGGCAACTTTCTGTAAGATTCGACTGGGTGAAGAGTCATCATCTCTCATTCAGTGAGAAACACTATTTTTTACTTCAAAAAGGAAGAAAAAATAACATAGCAAAGAAATAATGATAATTTCTCTCTCTATCTTGGGAGCCGTGGCTGCTGTGCTTGTCGTTGCTGAAGCTTTGTACTTCTGAGTTTAATCAAAATTAAAAATAATGTCAGACAATTATAGAAACATGCTTCGCATCGCTTTGAAGCTACAATTGCTCTGTAATATGCTTTTAGTGGACTCCCCTGCTTTTCATTTTGTTCTAAAATTAGAATTAATATTTTACAGCTTCAGAGACATTATCATGCAAGTCTCTCTCTCCAGAACAAGGAGGGGCAGATCTAGCAGAGACCTGAGAAACTAACAGTGCAAGAAATGAACTGTTAGCAGTGTTTTTGTGAATTTTTTGCTAATACCTCTTCTTATTATTTGAGTATGAGTTTGTGAAGATTAGTAGCATGGCTTGTGTGGCAAGGAAGCCTCAGCCAAGCAAACATCCTTTTGCTCTTTTCTCAGCCATGTTATTTGTTCTGCAGCCCTAAATCCATGCTAAACTTCATGTTTTGCTGCTGTGATTCTTATGCAGGTTGAATATTTTCACAAATGAGTTGGAAGGATCCGTTCTTGATCACAGGTACTATGCGGGGGGATGTTCTCCCCATTATATTGAGGACACGAGATTTAGAAAGCCGTACAATGTAGAAAGATACACCCCAGAGGTAAGTGTCAGATTCTTCTTCTGTAAATAAACCTACCTATTCACCAAGAATTTAGTGCATACTGCCATTGAAGCTTCATTCCTAAATCATTTTATAAACATTATAAAATGTGCAAGATCAGGTGGAATAAGACTGGATTTAGTCTTACGTCTAGAATGTCATCGTGCCACATTCTGTATGAACTGGGACAAGTTCCCTTAAATGATCTGTGTGAACTGAAATAGATGGACACATTCCCTTGGCCTTCTGATCACAAAAGCTGAGCGTAATCACCCCTCTTCCATCTATACCAGATGAAATAATCCAGTGAGAGTTGTGGCATTAAATTTCAACAGAATTGTAAAGTACCCGGAGAAACCCACTATGAAAAAGCTCTCAAGCTATGAACATGCATCAGCTTAGTATAGAAAGCACACTGTATGCATTGTGTGAGAGCCTAGACACCTTCATATTTTCTGTAGAGCTTAACTGCCTGCATTGGGTATCAAAGACCTACTTCAAGCATGTCATATATTTGGCCTCATTGACTTAGCAAGATATTTGTGAATGTTGCCCATCAGGAAAGCGCTTTCTCTTCAAATTTTAAACTTGTTTAAACTTTCAGTGATGCCTATGCTTAAGATTTCTGTTTCTTTGCATAAGATTGACTTAGAGTAAGCCTCAGGTCCCTGCAGTGTGGAGGAGATAGTAGCTTTCCTGCTGCTGTAAATGAAGCATTCTTGAAGTCCTAGTGTTAACAATAATGGTGCTTTGCAATTATAAAAGGCTTCTCATCTTCAAAGTGCAAGTTTTAATTCACAAGTATATTTGTGTTTGTACTCCCTCCCCATGCTTCAGGTATACAATCACTGTGCAGGAAACAAATTGTGTTGTTTTTGCTTTCTGTTTAGACCAAAGGCAAATACGAATTCACACTGACTGAATATGACTCCTACTCAAATTATGAAAGTAGTGTCCTGAAGGCAAAAGCTTCACAGTCTAGCTTCAGCTTTGGTATAAATCTGTATTTCTTTGAACTTGGTTACAGTTCTAATGACAGGAGGTTCAAGAAGTTCTTTCAAAGGATGAAAAGATTTTCTTCAACTGTAAGTACCATTCCACTTAATTCCCTACCACCACGTTCTCAGCTGCTTGTGTGTATATCAATTTGATCCCCCTCATCAGGTCAGCAGCCGTGACTAGGATAAATGAAGTCTTTCCTCCTGATGGGATTTTGCAGTCTGTATTGGTGAAGGGCTTGGCCACAGCTCCTTAGCTTGTGTTTATAGAACCCGGGAGCTTTTCCATTGACAGGGACCAGGCTGCTCTAAAATCAGTTGAGATTGAGTGCAGTCCGTCCAGTGAGTTGTTGGGCATCCATGGTTAAGATAAGAGAATGCACCAGATCAGACCAAGGGATTTCATCTCCCTTAGTGATGAGCAGCAGATGTCTGGAAAGAGGGAAAGAACACGTGAGCCTGGCTAGTAAAGTCATTTAAGAAAATGAAACAAAGAAATGCTTTTAAATGGCCTCCCCTCCATGCGGCAAAAGTGCTAGTAGGAGATGTACAAGCTGCACTTCTGATCAGGTCTCCGTGCTGCACACCAGCAACAGGATGTGGTGCACATTGAGGTGCCAGCCATCAGAAGGTTCATACCAGCCCCAGGGCTTCAGAAGTGACTCCCCCAGTTGGGCACTGTTCTCTCATCAAAGAACATAAAACAGGACGTTCGTTGCACTAGGCAGATGCTGCTTAAAGGGAAGCCACAATGGTAATGTTTATTTGAGCTGATGAACCTGGGAGTCCAGCATTCCCAGTGCCTACAGGGTGAGCTTCACTGGGGCATTTGGAGTTCAGGGTGAAAGAAGAGCAAATGGGACATTTGGAGGTTCTGGAATTTCTGTGCCTGTAAACACAGTCCAAAAGGCAGTCTGCAGCGTGGATGGCCGTTGCCTTTGCAATCACTGCAGGGTCCCATCTCGCATAGGAAGAGTCATTCCTCTTTTAGGTGGGCTCAGCAAGACAGGAGCTGTCACTTTAGTAAATGATAATGCAAACAAAGAGGCTAAACCATTCAACTGTAGGGCAGCCTTGACAAAAATGTAGAATGAAATTGCTAGCAGGCCGTCCGCAGGTTTAATTATAGACCAACACATGCCATTTTACTTTGGTTGTTGTGATATATCTGCTGCATGCGTCATTTATCAAGGGGGGACAGGCACAACACAAAATATGGATGGCACAATCAGAGATTTGGTCGTAGCTGTTATCTGATGCACAATTTAAGCTGGCTAGAGACATTTTAATCTATAACTCCTAGGGCTGTTTTATGAGATTAGTTTTGGGCTTGTGGACATCATCATTTGATTTCGTCTTTCCATCTGTTACTGCTGTAAACAAACTGAGCTCTTGTCAATGGCTAAATAGTAGCACTCATCTGTGTCTCTCCTCTCAGTATACAGGAATGGGAGTGTTCCTTGTTGCTGTTAAATTTGCATTTGCTTCCAGCAGTTGGGCACTATTCCAGGGAGTCTACTAGAGACACTATCCGTGATGATATCTGAAGTATATGAGAAGCATTTTTAATAAATATGCAGGAAGAAACTCAGTGCTAAATCTTAATTTTATTATTTAAAGATGCAGAGTTTTACATTAAAACCCTATTAATGTGCTTATCCTGCTGACCCAAATAACTGGACACTACATTCCTTGAGACATGGCAAAAGACATTTTCTGTTCCTAATTTTTATGCTAGAAAGAGGAAACATAAAGATATATATATATGTGTATACACACATGTCTGTGTGGATGCACAAAAGAGTGTGTGTGTGTGTGTGTGTGCATGCACAGAAGTGTGTTTTCCTCTTTTCCTTGCATTTTGGCAGGTTCAGTGGAGTATAGGTGTTAATCTGAGTCAACCAGAAAATGACAGTTTCACAGATAAATCAATATGACTCCAAACTTCAAAATGTGAAGGACTGGTTGAAAGTGTTAGGGGTAGAGTGCTCTCCTGGGATGCAGCTTTTTTCCTTGCACCTTCAGTCTATCAGCAGAGTCTTGCAAATGGGTGTCCCCATGTCCTACCTAGTTGAATGCCTGAGCTATCACCTAATCTGTACTGGGTGTCTCTCCCTCTCCCTTCTCTCTAATAGACTGCATCTCTATCCTCATCTCAGAAACTAATAAAAGTTTTGGGGAGAAGTTGCGAGGTTAAAAAAAAAAATCCAATTGTTAAACTGATAAATCCTGACCAGTGCAAGTGTTTAATGGCAACGAATCCCACTTTGTCAAGAGAATCACATCCCTCATTTCCTTTGCATTCTCTTTTGTGCCTGCATCTCGTGCAGTCCAGCAAATTCATCCACGCCCGCTGCGAGCTGGATGTTGCTGTTTATAAGCTGAAGCCCCGGGCGCTGATGCTGCATTACGAGTTCATGCAGCGGCTCCAGCAGCTGCCCTCCGACTACAGCTACGGCCAGTACAGAGAGCTCTACAGGGACTACGGGACCCACTACATCACTGAGGCCACCGTCGGTGGCATCTACGAGTATACGTTAGTCCTCAACAGTGACAGCCTCCAGAAGGCAGGTATGTGCATGTGATTCTTGTGAAAAAAGGCTTGGGGCCAGATCCAGCCTTTCTGTGTGAACACCCTGCTCTAGGCACCCAATGATGATTCACATTTAAGGACAGAAAAGAGAAGGTGGAAGAAGTCAACAACGTTTCAAAGAAAGCCTGCAGGAGATAAAGGAGGAAACTGTTTTATGGCTGCTGCAAAAAGAGCTTGGTTTCCAAAGCATGCACAGCATCGTGGCTTCATCTGGCTCTCAAGCTGTGCATACTGTGAGCTAGGAAAAGGCTCCTGGAGTGAATATTTTCTACAATGCTTCTTGGAAGCTGACAAGATGTGTAGATGAATGAGCCATGTAGCCTAACTCTTTTGTTAACTTTGCAAACCTTCAACCAAGTTCTTTTTATGATGCCTTTCAGATGACAGTTTTGAAACACCTTTAGCCTCAGAGCTTTTCCAGAATGTAGGAAACAGTAAATAATTTGCTGGGTGACTCTTTTGTCTGACATTGCTCTTGCTCTTTGACTCTAGCTTCCTTTTTCTCAAGAAATGATGATCGCTGTGTGGGATAGAACATGGTGTGACATTAATCAATAGCTGCACTCTTTTATTTATTCATTGGCATGGGAGACTGAGGAACTGCCTTTGCGCTCTGTTTGCAAAAGCATTTAGTGGACTCTGCTGTGCTGCACTCAATCCGTTTGCTTTTCTTCTGTCTACGAAGTTACTAGGTTATGCTATAGTCAGATACAGCCCAGAGGGACAGAATTTAAATTTGCCTTTCAGATACATTCAAAATATTAGCATGCTACTATGTCCAATTTCTCAGACATTACCAGGGCCCATCACAAGCAATATTCAGTTGTGCACATGAAATAATGTGCATTTTTGTTTGTGTTAAATGCTGTCCAAAAGTGAATGCTGACCTGAATCAGGATCCTCAGTATTTCCAGCCCTCCCCAGTTTTGGGATGATTTCTAAGTTCTTGCAGCCATTTGATAGCTTAGATAGAATAAGGGGATGGTGAAATAAAAAATAGTAGAAGATTCAGCAAGTAGAATGGTTTTATTTATAACACTGCAATGTTTTGGTGTGCTTTTAAGGTTATTCTCTGAGCGACGTCCAGAAATGCGCTCAACATGGCTTTAACGTTGGTGCAACTATCAAAAAAGTCTTTGTTGGTTTGGGAGTGACTGATGGCACCTGTAATTCCCTTTTAAGAGAAATTGGAGGTAAGCATGAGATGCTTTTTGGGGGTTAATTTTTAGTCTTTTTCATAATGAAAAGAAGGTTTAATGATCTTGCCCACCTGAAGCACCTCCCCATGCCCTGCTCTGAATCTGTTGGCCAACCTCAGCCAAGTTTAATAGAGAAGTAGACATCTCAAAGCTCTTGTTTTCTTGCAATAATTTCTTTGTTGAACGGAGAAGAAAGATCTTCTCAGTGCCCCCTTCTTCCTAGGGAAAAACGGGGGCAGATCAACCTTTATGGGGTTGAGTGACCAATGCACACACCAGTGTGCTACTTGCTACACTTTCTTCACTGCAAGAGGATACAGCTGAAGATAGGTGGAGGAAAACTGGTAATTTTAATGGTGGTGAGGAGCTTTGTGCTGTGGAAGGACCTTCAGCATTGTAGGTGGCAAGAAATCAGTGGAATGAGAAAGGGTACATGAGAGGAGGATGGGGTCATTGTTGCAAGGGAGCAAGGAGAGCAGGCGTCAGGGGTTCTGTGGCTTGTAAGAGCAATCTGAACTTTATATTATGACATTTTACCTTCCGTTTCTCAAATGAAATAAGTCTGTACTCATAAAATGAGCTTCATGTATTAGTGGAATTTGATCTCACCCGACTAAAGTAAGCAGGACTTTGACTCCTGCCTGCAGCGGGAGCAGACACAGTCCTCCCTCCGGGTGTCACAACCTGGATTTTTTAAGTGCTTTTTGAGTGTACCCACACAGAAAGATCCTGATCCATTAGCTCATGATCTAATTACCTTATGGTGATCTTCCAGGCTTTGAGTTAATCTGCTTAATGTTTCTTTTGACATCATTATAAAAGAAAGACAGAAAAGCCACAGTCTGAATAGCACAGCCCTTCTTCCAGGCAGACTCCCATAGGATTGAGCCCTGCTTGTTCAGGAAGATGGGGAAAAATTCACTTGAAGGTGGCAATTGATTTGGCCACAAGTATTTGGCACACGTCTGGCCTTTCTCCTCTCCATTGAATGGGTCATTCACAGGGGTGTTTTGCTGTTGATATCTTATTTGCAATCCACAAAGAAACATCTGTGAAGAATTGACCCATTTTCTGGCCGTGTGTTTGCAGACAGCACCTACAGAAAGCAGTATGTGGAAGACTTCATCGCCCTTGTGCGTGGAGGAGCAAGTGAGCACATCACCACGCTGGCTCACAAAGACCTGCCGACCGCTGCACTAATGCAGGAATGGGGAGATGCTGTGCAGTACAACCCCGAAATCATAAAGCTCAAGGTACTGTGTCTATCAGTTCACTCAGCCTCACTTAGCAAAGTGCCTTGGAGAAGTGTGTGTTCACATAAATGGGATTTAAAAAAAAAAGACAGGGCAATTTCTAAGGCAGTTATTAGAACTGTATTGTGTAACATAGTGCCTCTGAGAACAGATATTTGGAGGATCTCAGTTTTGTTGTAATAAAAAGCGTGGTGTAGTTGAAAGCACGTAAAGCAAACAGAATTTTTCCTCTTTCTAATCTGACTGTGTGGTTATGATCCCCTGCTGCCTATGAAGCAACAGACTATCCTCTTTTCTTCTTTATCAACATATTGCTTATCAGAAAGATAGCTGTTAGCCTAAGCAATAGAGTTTAATATGAAGGCCTCCTTTTCTTCAAATTTCTCCTGTCTTCCCTGATTACCAGGGACTATTTAGCAATAATTGTGTTTGATTCAGGATGTCTAGAAGTTCACCCTAAGTGCCTGGATGCTGTGCAGCTTAACTAAACCTTAAAAAATAAGACACTGGCTTCGAAGAGCCAATGTTTTTTGATCCTGAGCAGATTTAGAAATATAAAGGAGTATAAAAGTAAAATGTGAATGGAAGTATGCTGCAGTTCTACCTCTGCACGTTCAATGTCAGAGTAAATTCACTCTAAGTTTGAGTGTATAAAGTCCAAGAGAATGTGCTTTCAAAACCAGAAATTGGACTGATAGTGGTAGAAATCGGTTTTATTATTATGCAGTTGTTTTTATAATAAAATAAAATTTTGTGCAAAAGTGTAGTTGTAAAAGATGTTTGCTTCTCCTTGAAATTTCTTTATTTCATTAAAAAATAAGAGCTCAATTCCAGGAAATTTCAAGAAAAGCAAAAATCAGCAATTTGGAAATTCTGCCAGTGCCCATCTGCCACTTGTTTCGATGTGATTTTCCAAAGGTCCTGGTGAACTGTGGATAGATATTCCTAAAATGTACAGTGAGGTCTCTCAGCAGGAGGAAACAGAAGGGAAATCTTCCACGCAAGATCCCACTTAAAGAAAATCCTCACACAATAAATTGCGATGTTCCTCTGGTCTTGCCCTTTGGTATCTAGCCTGACATCCATGACCACACTGTCCAGTGAAAACCACAGCCTGATGCAGTCTGGATTTACTATCTATAATCTTTCATTTCCATACTGATATCCCTGTGGGGCTTGAAGATCAAAAACACCAGCCGAGTGTGACTAAATGTCAGACCAAGAATGCTTAGTTAGGGAAAACTAAAGCAAATCAGTTCATAAATCATCCGCTGAAGGGACTTGGCAGGTCAATCTTAAAGCATTTCCTTATTTGTATGATCTGAATTCACAAAGCCAAAGTATGGATCACGGGTAATTGATGAAGAGTGAATGTAGAGGAACAGGAAAAGATGTTTTTTTCTTAAAATACTCTTCTATTTCTAGTAGCTTGAGCCTGTCAAAGCAATGCTGTTATCTTTCATGCTTACTGTATTCCAGGGGCCTGTGTAGCAGATCTGTTATGTAAGTAGCTGTATAGCAAGGATGGGAACTTGGGATGGATCCTGTAATAATGTGGGCCAATGTTTTCTCACCAGCATTAGTGGATGTGTGCCAATTATAGGCCACACTCAAGTTTTTTGGAAAAAAAAAATAAGCAGCCAAAGTCTCTCTTTTTTCTACTGTATGATGTTCACTGCATGGTGCATCCCCTTATTTATCAACTAATGCAAAGACCACTGAGCCTGTCTGTGGTGTTCGTAGATGAAGTTCACAGTACACTCCCTTTTGAAGGCAGTGGAAATCCTTTCTTTGCTTCAAAAAACAGACGATCGGCCTTGAAGTACAGAAGTGGTTAAGTTAAAAGGGGAAATAAAAATGCCCGTGAATACCATAAACGTGTGGCCCTTCAAAACAGCCACCTGAGGACCGAAGGAACAGGTTTGTGGGTGGATTTTGGAGATCCTTTTTAAGTCGTAGTAAGGGAGCACTCACTGAAAGTATGTTTGATCAAATCTGCTTTAAAATGTCCAAGTTAAGGAAATGGATGGGAAAACATGTGAGGCCTTGCCCTGTTTTGCAACTACCTCTATAGCTGTCGTTCTTCATTATGCATTTGAACTGTATCTGGTATTAGAAAACAGAAGAAGGGACCCTGTATTTCTGATGCTGCTGCCTTGTTGTTTACTTGCTTTGCACAGCCACTGATGAGAAACCTGCACAACACGCACACCGTGTTGAATTTGGAAATAAATGTGGTTTCTTTCCTCCTGTTAGGCACAGCCTCTGTATCAGCTGGTGACTCCAACTGACTTCGCTAATGCAATGGCCATAAAAGCAAATTTGCAACGTGCTCTGGAGGAGTTCGCGCTGGAGAGCAGTTCCTGCCGCTGTGCTCCATGTCGTGGCAATGGCATCCCTATCCTGAAAGGTGAAAGATTTTTCCATCTTGGAAGGAAGCTTGGCTAGTAATGTGCCCTTGGGTTCTCTTATTATTCCTGTTTTGAATAATGACAAAAATGTAAGTAGCTCTTTTTGGCCACTCTTTACCAAAGACACTAAAGTCAAGGACTGTAGGAGTGATCATCTCTCTCAGTTTTGTGGAGAAATTTGTTCCCGTCTCAATTATGCATTAAAAAGTTGATGTCTTTGTGTCTCCTCCTTTGCTTTTAAGATTGCTTCCATCTTCCTAGAGCAGAACCTACTGTCTCAACATTAATTAGTGTTTGTAAAAGTGTTTCGAAGATGAAAAGCACCATCTAAGTGCCAGGCACTGTTATCACTGTCACCTCCCCCATCTCTAAAGCTGCCCTCCTTTGGAAGCAGACTGTGATTTAAAAATGAAGGAGAAAAATAATTAAATTGAATCAAAACCACACTGCCTAAACAGAGATGCATGATGTGATGAGAGCTTGTAACAAAAGGACCATTTTTTCAAGTGCCTAATTCCTATCTGCATCTGCACAAGTCCTGATGAGAGTCATTATCATCTAAATGAATCTAATGCAGAAACGATTGCTTCAGGTACCAGCTAGTTGATTGTAGCACTTGGAGGATTCCGCTCATGATTACCCTTGTTTAAGTAACTTCTTCAGGATTTGAGTTGTGTTAGCATTTCATTTAGGGCCTTCTCAACAAGAGGCTTTACATGACCTTTATTGTTAGCAAGTGGAAGCTCTGCTCTGGGGTCAAGCTGTGGGAAGCACACACCAGTCCTGGAAACCCATAGCAGTCTGCTCCTTCCTCACGGATGAAACACTGAAAAGAAATGGTTGTCTGTGGGGAAATGAGGCTTGAAGTGAAGTCTGTAATCCCACATCTCTGCTTGCTTCTAGGAACCAAGTGCGAATGCTTGTGTCCCCTTGGCTATAGTGGCACTGCCTGTGAGGTCACCAGGAGGGAAGGTAAGAAGGATCTGAAGACCGAGGAAAGGAGGGGCAGAGTGGCCCTGGTAAGAGGGACAAGGAGAAGGCCAGTGCTATGTGCCCATATCTCCTGTCTGCATTGCCAAGAGAGCACAAGAAACCACCATATGGTCTTCATCTGTGCAGCCAGCTCTAACTTGGGTCCGGATAGTGCCAGCTGGATGTGGGAATGATGCTGGGGGAGCTGACTGGAGATGTCGCTGATGCAGGGGGAGAACCATGCCCAGGGTTGGCCCTTCTCAGTCTGCTCAGCCCCATGCATGTGGTTGTGCTCCTGCAAACTGGCAAATGGGCTTTGGCCAGGAAACTCCAGCGGAGGCTGGTGGTGAGGGAAAGGCTATGGGCAGACAGCGAGAGGAGCCGGTCTGATCGACTCAGAACTGACAGCATAGCCATGAGCTAGTTGATTATGACCTACAGCTCGTAATGCAGTGGAAATGGAATTTAGCAGCAAAGTCTAATCCTCTCTTGTACTCGAAAGGAGGTGACTTTCAGCTCTGTAAGCCTTCCTTGAAAGTATATCTAGTTTACAGACCAGGGCAAGCCCCAGGTCTCCTCCAACAAGTCAGTCTCTTTAGTTTGTCTCTTTGATGCAGCCATTATGTTGCAAAATGGTTTTTTTTTCAGATACTCCACCATGCATTTTAATCTTAAAATCTTATTACATTGTTTTGCATCATTTACTAATGTTTTCTGGCCCCTTTGCATTGTTTCTCTCTTCTGAGTGATGTTCTTAACTCCTTCTGGTTTAGAATGACCCGTGAATTTAATCATTCTGCTGTTTACTTCATACAGGTCATTAATTCACATGCTAAATATGACCAGTTCTCGGGCATCCAGAGCTCTGACACCATCCCCCAGTTAGATGCAGTACATTTATCATCACCCTTTGTTTACCTGTTTCATTCTGCATGACTGTGTCCTATCCAGAGCTGGCTGAAATACATTTCTAAGACAAGATTTCACAGAGCAGAGGGTCAATTTCATGGGTGTTTCTAAGCAAGGCCGTGAAGTCTTAAACTACGGAGTCGCTTACACCTTGTTCCACTCTGCTTCCCACACGTGTTATCACATGCAGCCCTCCCAAAGACTCGCATCCATCCACTTGTCAAGCCAGGACTTCCTTCTTCGCTCCCGCTTCCTCCTTCTGTGCAGAGCCTCCACATTTGCCTCTGTGATTCTCAGGACTTTGAATTTCTGTCACTCACATGCTCAGGGGCCAGAAGAAAACAGTGTAATAGGAAAAGCAATGGGTAGAAAGCTGAATATTCAAGCTGTTGTTCATTGAACAAGAACATGCTAACATTTCCCCTAGCACCTCAAAGGGTGGTTGACGCGAGTTGCAAATCTAAAGCTAATTGATATTTTTTTCCCCTTGTCCCTGCTGTATATAGTTTGAACACGCACCAGAAATGTTCAGCCATAAAATGTATCTTTAAAATGATCGTTTGCTGCTAATGACTCAAGTATATTCTTAGTGGTATGGACAGGGGCATATCTGTTTGTGTTTAAATCTGATTCATGGAAGCTGACAGCTCTTTCCTGTGGAAGGAAATGCTTTATTCTGACCATCCTTTCTGAATTATGTTTTTTCCCCTAGATGCTGCTGTTAGCGGGAACTGGGGCTGCTGGGCGAGCTGGTCGGCCTGCTCTGGAGGTCAGCGATCGAGAAGGCGACAGTGCGACAACCCGGCACCGCTCAACGGTGGCTCCTCGTGCTCGGGGCCAGATGTTGAGACGGCCACTTGCTAGAAGGAGCTATAAAGAACGCACACGCAAGACATGAGCGGGTTACTAATTGAGTGGAAAGACGTTAGCTCACTGGCTTATTAAGCTAGCTTAGCTCCGCTTGTGGGTCTCATTTTAGGTGCATTGAAGTCAGAAAAAAATCAGAAGGCCTTGGGACCTGGGTGTGCGTTATAGACCCTGTCTGCTGGACATGATTTCCAATGGGATTGAATGTGCTTACCCTTCTTACCATTTTGACTTTATTGCAATGGGTTAATTGAGACAAGCTTCATCTCCTGCATTGTTTCGTAGCTGTATGATTACAAGTTTTAATCTTTTGTTTCTGAAGGCTCTTTGAGATAAGAAAAGACTGTTTGATCTAACATGCACCAGAATGTGGGCTAATACACGGCTTCTCTGAAGACAGCTGTGACATGTGGAGCAAAATACAGCACATTAAAGTCTGAATCTCGATGAGCACAACAGTATCTAATGTGACATTTAAAGCAGCTCTACCTCACTACCCCAGTTTCCTACTTTTTTATTTAACATAGTGTCTGTCATGTTTGCGATTGCCTTGAAGGAGCAGAAACTGAGTTGTGAAGAATATTCTGGAGAAACCAAGGTATTGGCCTATAGATCAGTTGTGTTCTTAGCACAGAGATGAGCTTCAATCTGTGGATTTCTGAGGCAGAGCAAATATCTCAGGTACATTGATGTAGTTGGTTCTTGGAAAGAGGAGGGAAGGGGAGAGGGGGGGTGGATTGGAAAGCAGCTGCTGTTTGGGAATATTGAGGGTAGGAGGGGCAGGAAGGGTTGTACCTCATGAACCATGACCAGCAGCTGTCACCCCAGGAGTCAGGACCTTCCGTAGAAGCAGGATAAGCAGCAAGCTTTTATGTAGCTCTTTGGCACAAGCAGAATACATAGGACATTTTGGAACAAAGATAATTATGCACCGCTCAAGTTTTCCACCCTTTGCAACTGCTTCTGCCCAAAGCTGGCTCTGGTTCAACTACCTCTGCCCAAAGCTGGCTCTGGTTCACCTGTTGATTCCAGGAAAACCTGCTGTATTTCAGCAGATATGTTGCTCTTGTAGTCAGGTTAAGGCATCTGAGACAGAGAGAGTTCTCTGTGAAGCAAGCCAAAGCCAAATGAATGGCCTGCCCTTCGTTTGGTCTGAAGTCATGGATCAAAATCCGTCTTGAAGAGAAGAGGAACTTGGAGAACTGTGCGAAAGGCCAACCTGGGTGGCTTTGTCCAGGGACTTCTTTCTCAATGCTTTTTTGGTTTGTGATTTTTGCAGAGACATTCGTTGTGGGCATGCTCTAAAATAACTAGTGATAACTTTACTCCAGGAGAAGGATATAGTCAGTACAAAGGTTTTCATGAGTGTTTTCTGTTTTCTAGCTTTTACAAGGTCAAGCAGTCTTCCAAGGGTTTTTAGCAGTGCCGTTGATGATGATGGGTTGGTATCACCAGTTTCTCTTCTTTCAGGCTGACATTGTCTTAATGTAATTCTTGCAAGAGCAACTCAGCCTCTCTGACATTTGAACAATGAAACATTCATTTAGTTTTCGTTCGCAGGCCGCCTCCACACTTATTGACAAGGTTTCTGTGACAGCTTTAAGAAAGGAAGAGCACATTGCATATGTAAAAGCAGAGTGCTCTGTACTCATAATGGGCTACATAATTGACCTGCCAGCCCAAAACATTTCCGTTTTGCGCTGTGTAACTATTATCGCTTTTGTGTGATGGAGATTTGCCAACAGGCTCATGGAGTCATGGTCAAAGAGGTCACTACTTATGCTAAATATAGTGTTCCTTAGTGGTTTTTGGCTGGGCTATGAAGGCTCTGTAACAGGGAACACTGGTCACCAATTTTGAACAGCTCGTGGAAAGCATATCTAGGAAAGCATGTCCTGTATTGCAGTTGCCTGCCCTTATTGAGAAGCGTCGATGTGATCTAAGGAACTTGTTTTCTGGTGGGCAAATTGTCTTTTGTAAATTGGATCACCTCTGCTGCTCAGCAAGCTGTGGGAATCAGTCTGTGATTGATGTCAATGATCAGTCCAAATGATGACCAGATGCACCACCCTAGTGTGTCTCTCCCTTACTTCTGCAAGCATGGACACATGTAGTGACCTGAATTGGAACTGTCCCCTGACCAGAAAAGTCAAGATTTTTTGAAGTGGCAGGATGAGGATCAGCAGGAGAGTTTGACTGAAGAGTGATTTCCATCATGGGTTAATACTGAGCTCATAGACCCTACAAGCCTCCCACAAAGGACATAACTTTATTTTGTCCTTGTGATTTTATGCTTTGTTTTAACTAACGAGTGATTTATTATGACCTGGAGAGTAATAAAAAATACAATGCTGAAGCTTTTAATGTTTCATTTTGGTACGTGTTAAATTTTGCTACCACCTTTTAATGGTGTCTCTCGCTTCTTTGGAGGTTTAGATTAAAAACCCACGTACAAAAACAGGAGAAGGCTGCAGACGAGAAGTTTGCATGCTCTGCAGTGGTGGCATTTCTGTAGGCCATTTCCAGGCTTAAGACTGCTATTTTGATGGGCTTCTTACATCCTATGCTTTATCCCTAGCCTAGACCTAGTGTGTCATCTTAATACCTTTACTAACCCAGAGAAATGGGCATCTTTAAATGTGTAGTAGTTCTGCATCAGCTTTGTCACCTGTGCCCCAGCACTGCTCTGATTCTGTAGTTGCCCATGGATATGCAGTTTACTTGTGAAAAATAATGTCAGTAAATCCAGTGAAGAAACTGTTTTTTCTCCATCTTTCTTCTCGAAGACACTGCTGCTGTGATGTGTGCTGGATCCTGTAAATAAGGCTTTGGGAGCTGCCAAAATAGTAATTTTGGTAAGTTGTAATTGTCACGTCTTAGGATGGGAAGATGAGATTGGTCTCCAACTTGGTTTCATTTTTCTCTCTGTTTTTTCATGCTGTGTAGACATTTTATATTTGTCTTTAAGGCTGGGACATCATCTAAGCTGCAACTCAGGATTTGCAAACTCCAGCTTGTGGCTGCAGTGTTTATAAATTACAGGATTTATAAGATGCACGGGAGGTTCTCCTGCTGTACTCTGCTGCCATCCAGGCCTGTGAGTAAATGTAGAACAGAAATCTGGTTTACAGAAAAAGTAAGAGGCTCAGAGACTGAGAGGTTTTCTTGAAAACTGATAGGCAAGTCCAAGTAGAGGGCCAAACATGACCCAAACTCCCATCTCCTTGTTCCTCTTCTTTCAATAGAGACCCCAGGGAGCATCCAATGAAACTTCTACTTTCTGGTCAAATTATATCTTCAGATTTTCTTCCTCTCTTAATGTTCCCTTGCTCAGGTAAATCAGCAGGGCTAGAGGTGATGAACATTTGATGAACATTTATCAATGTGATATACGTTTATTGAATGTGTACCACATTTGGTGAACGTTTATCAAATATGGTATAATCAGCCATAATGAACACTTGTTTCTTCTGTTACTTGTAGTGCAGTGTGTGCTATCGCACTGCGTTGGGCATGATACAACATCCCAACAAAAAACAGTCCCTCCCCAAACTCTAAAGAATCTAGCTTTTGTTTCCATTTGTTTACTTTTTTTTTATTGCTAAGACTGAACGTTTCATTTTTCCATGTATGCCTGCATTGCACTGTATACATACAAAAAGAAAGGCAGTGATTTCAGATCTACTTCTGCTGAGGAATCCTTGCTTGCTCGAAAATCCCAGCCTGGAGGGACTGGGGCGTCCAGGTAGTCGGCATGACATTGACCCCGCGGTAGGAAGCGGCTCCGTCTCAAGCACTGCCCTTATCTACTCCCCTGTTCGCCGGTTATCTGGAGCCTGCACCTTGCAACCTCAGGTGTATTGTCATCCATCATTTGCTCTTTTCTTTCGCATCCTGCTTCCTCTCTGCCCTTCCTTTGTTAATAACCCGGTTTGCCTATATCCATAAAAATATCTGATTGTGATACCATTTATCCAAAGCACCATACATCCATCATGTACTTATGAGAGAGATAAACAAGGTCTCCTGGGAAATATGCCGCGAGAAATATATAGGATAAATAACTATATCAAATGTGTGTCAGCATGCAAGGGGGGAAAAACCCATTCATTAAAACCAGGGTGGAACTACACTGTTTTATTGTTGCCTCTGAGCTTTTAGTTTAAGAAAGAAACCTACTTCTTGCTACTTATCTCGCCTAGCACAACTCTCACGCTGGCCACTTCAGCATGAGATATATTAACTCTGTTGACTAGCATTGTAAATGTGTAATTGCTCATAATCTTTCTCTTTTCTTCTTTTTACAGACCTTGCAGGCAGCTTCTTCCAGCCTTTCAGCTTCCGCTTCCCTGCTGCTGAGTTTCACCAAGGGGATAGAGCGGAGACCGGGATGAAGCGCAGGGTTGGATGGAGCGGGAAGTGGGGGGCTCATAGCAGGGGGTTTTGCTTTGGTGTTTGAACCAAACCTCTGCCATTTGCGTTTCATTGCCCTTGGGTTCAATGTGCCTGATGAGATCTGCCCTGAAAGTATCCCGGCTTTGATGTCCATACTCCAAAACTGCACATTCCAAGTGGGAAATGAAAAAGGCCAGGCAAATCCCAGCATTTTGCCCTTGCTTATTTATAGATGCTTTGCAGTGGCATTTCATGTTCCGTTTCTTTAATGACTTGGATTTATTCTCTTTTAGTGATTCCCCAGCCTGTGATGGGTGCTTCTAGAGACGACTCACAAGGTGGGGATGCAGGTTGCCTTTCTGCAGGCCCCCTCCCTCCCCAGGCTTTAAGGCACCGAATCTGTATGTTCATTAATTTCTTCCCCCTGGTCACAAGCGAGGCATACGTTGTTTTCTGACTAAGATAACTTTTTACTCATTTACTGGCGGGCAATTTCTTCAGTCTTAAGCAGTGTATGTAGAAGTGGAAATAGCCCGAGAGCCGAATCAATCCCTGGCGGAACGGCACCGGCTCATGTTTTTAACCCAGCGTGCTGGCCCCGTGCCAAGCCGCTCTGACGATACCATTTGCTGGGAAAACTGTTCTTTGTTCCTTCATTTCACTTTCGTTTTGGATGTTGAAGTTGTCCAGATTTCCGTGGTGCTTCATGGCACTTTTTCCCTAATGTGGAGGATGTCAGAATCGAGCTCTTGAGAGCAGCTTCTTCTCTGGGTGAATACAACGTTTGCCTGAAAATGCAAGGTGGGCCCATAGGGCATAATTTTATCACCCGTTTGCCCATGCCTTAGCAACTTGCCGTAGAAAAAAAGCACGTCTCAGTGTTCAAGACAACATGGTTGGTTGTTTTTTTTTTTTTTTATAAGAAAAGTCTGTAGTTTTTTCTTCAAGCAAGAGGGGAAGAAATGGTGAAAAAAGCAGTCTTTTGGCAAGCGCACACACAAAAGAAAATATGGGGCCAGATCTTCAGGTAGCATAAATCAGCTGCACCGAAGGAGCCAGGCTGATTTACATCAGCTAAGTGTCAGGCTCTAAATCACCACTGACATGCTGTTGGAAAAACAAGCATTTCCAAGAATCAGAGCTAGAGCTAAGCAATTTCTTTCACTAAACCACGATCCCTTTCCGCTCCTTCTTCCCTTCACATGTATAGAAAGTGCTCCTTTGTGCACTGAGGTTTTGTCGCTGTTGTTGCTTTTCATAATGTCAGATTCCTTCTCGGGGCTTTTTTTTCCCCCTTCTCCCCTTTGTAATGAAAAGCGCAGTAAAATGAAGTGCCATTTGCTTTCTGTCCACCCCAGGTTTTTGCGGCAGTTCATTAAGAGCCCCGAGCTGGGGCTCTTGCTGCACTCCCTGGATACTGTTCAATACTGTGTGTATTTTTGTGCCGAGATTTACGTCTCACATGCAAAAAAAGGCCCTTAAATCAAGCAGCCCGTTAGCATCTTCTCCAGCTCGGGGTGCCTTGGAGATAAAATGCCTCTGTTCTAATAGTCAATTCATCACAGATCCCAAGGAGGAATAGCCATCACTTGTGCAGGAGCATCCTCTGTAGAATGGTTTTGTTTGGTGCGTCTGTGTATTATTTGCTTATTTATTTATGATTCTCATCAATTTGGATTCCCGTTTTCCCCAGCACTTTTCAGTGGCTTTGGGCTTTAGCTTCCTCCCATACAGCTCAGCATATGGCTTTGCAGCACGTGCGGCCCTGCCCAATATGCTACACTTTCAAATCTGACAGTGCCAACTTATAAAAGTTTCATGGTGCATATGTCAATACCAACTGCATGAAAATGCAAGGCTCGCGAGCTTCTAATCTGTTTTCCAAAGGCAAATATAAAGATTTCTGCGAGCGCAGCTTACTTATGTAAACAGTTTTAGTAAATGTGTCTCCTGGCTGCTTATAACCTCGCGCTCGCGCAGCCCCGTCCCCGCCACGCTGCTTCTGCACCGTCTCCTGCCTCACACGGGGGTCCCTGCGCTGCGAGGGGTGCGCTGAAATTGGGGGGAAGCCAAAAACAGAGCAGGCAGGTATTGAATCAAATTGAATCAGGTTTTCTATCTCTTTACCTCATCTTCATAAGTAGGTAAATGCAATGTCTCACGATTAATTGTCCGCAGTAATTCCCGTGCGGAATTCCGCCGGCGGTGTCTGGAGCCCGGCAGGGAGCCCGTGTGCTCGCAGGGCCGTGCTGAGGGGTCAGCAGGGCTCGGTGCGCGCGCTCGGCCCCGCGCACGCCGCCCCGCCGGGCCCCGGCGCCGGGTTGTTGCACTGCCGGCTGCGCCTCCGCCGTCCAGCCTGGCACGGAGACCAAGGCGACCAGCAGCTCCAGCGCCCGCTCGTTGCCCGGGCTGTAAAGCCATTAAAAAGAAAGGAAAAAGGGTTATTTAGTTCTGCGCTTCTGCTCGGATGTGGGTCCCCATGGCCAACCCGGTCCCTGCTTGGCACCCAAACCACTGTTGACATCAAGGTTTGCAGGAACCCTGAAGGCACAGTTGATGGAGCAGCATCAGATTCCTCAGACACCGGTAGCTCTTTTCTGATCCTTCAAAACTGGCTTTTCTCCCCCAAAGGGCCGGTGATGGGTCTCTGTGTAGCAGTCTCCCCACTCCAAACCCATCAGTGCCTTGAAGGTCTTAGCATGGCCCTGCATAGTGTCCTCCTGCAAAGTGCATCCTTCAGAAAAGGGTCACATCGAGCCCTTTACCTTATAAGACAGGAAGATTTGTCAGGTGCATCCAATACTATAGATTATGGCTGCACTTATTGATGGGAATACTTGATGTCTGTCATTTACTGTCCTCTTTTATTTACTCAGCTGGCCTTCATTCCTGGCTCACACACTGTATTAGTCCAGACAGCAAAATGGATCTCTGTGCTCTATGTGCTGCCTGGAAGGCTGGGTTTCTGGTGCACTGAAGGATCATTCTTTAAAAGAAGAATGAGCCTTGGAATTTCCCTTGAGCTGGGAGTGACCATGACCTGGAGCTGCTGGGTGAAATGCCCACGCTTGGGCTGTCACCAGGCTGGCCATAGCACCAAGCAGCTCCCACAGTCTTTGGCCACGGGCACATCCATTTGTTAGGTGACCTTCAGGGTAAGTCTTCAGCCTTCCATGCTGCTCATCTGTAACTTAGGAGACAGTTCTAAGGACCAGGTTTTATTAAAACCCCGCTCTGAGTCACTGAGCCAGCCCTTTTGAAGAGGAATACGTAAAACATTAGCCCAACGCTGCTCTTATTCATCATCTTGTCAAGGCTTTGGTTTTCCAATGGTGGGACGCTAGTTACAACCACATTCTTGCATGCCTGGAGCTCTGCTTAGAAGAACCAGTCCAAAGATGGATTTTCTGCCAGCTGCAGCGCTGTGGTTTGGAATGCTTCTTTTGTTTGTTTTCATCAAAACAGCCCTTTTGGCAGAGCATTGCCTCAGCACCACTTTCAGAGAGATCGTTTTGATGGATCAGCCTGAAGCTTTGGGTCTCCCTTCCCCCTCAGTCCATCGGGATTTGCCCTTTCACCCGTTCAGTGGATGACACCAGCGCTTGGGAACCCTCCTACCAGGGACATCGTGACTCCTCTCTGTGCACACAGGTCCACCCTTGTCCCCGTTGCACCACCATGTTTAGGCTCTTGTTGATCACACCTTGGAAGCCTGGCTCACACGTTGATCCAGGCTTCCTGCAGCATGGACAAGGCCACGGATGGTCCAGCTGCAGCTGGAGCTGCTGCTCCCATCTCACCTCTCCTTGCACAGCATCCCCAAGCCCCCAGCTAGCAAACACCCCCTTATTTCCATCTGTGTAGAGCAATGGACCAACCCGTTAGTCCAAGGCGACCGGGACCCACCTGGGCGCCGGCTCTGGGCGCAGGCCGGGCCGCCGTAGCCGGGCAGGCAGTGGCAGACGCAGGTGTCCCCGGCCAGCACGGGCTCCCCGTCGTTGTGGCAGGGCCCGCAGCGGCAGGCGCTGAACTCGGACACGTAGCCGTGGAGCGCGCGCCGCAGGTGCTGCCGCTTGGCGCCCGCGGCATCGCTCCCGCGCAGGATCTCGTCTATGGGCTGCAGCTGCAAGGCACAAAGACGCCGGCTCAGCCTGCTGGGTTTAACCTAGGAGGAGGCTGCAAAATCATGCAGTGCCGTCTAGGGAGTTAAATATGTGATGAGCTCCGAGTGTTTGCATAGCGAGGTGCTGCTCTCGTAGAGCATTCAGCAAAAAGAGCTGGATGTGGGTGGCTAGTTCTAACCTGCCTTCTGCATTTAGCCTTATACCAAAGGACCAGCTTAAAGGATGGCCGTGTCCGGTCTGCCAAAGCAGCCCGAGAGCCTTACTGGGGGTTGTAGGTCGTATTTATAAAGTGGTTCCCCTAAAATCCCAGCCCTTCTAGTCTCACCGGTGGCAGAAGTTGCACAGTGCACTGGCACAGTTTCACTGGGTATCACTGGCAATGCCGCCCGGAGCAGTGCTGGGATCTCCCCGTTGCTTTGGGAACAGCTTTGGGCAAATTTGCACAAGCTTGTTTATCCGCGGCGGGGGGGAAGCTGGAGATAAGAGATAAAGTGGACACAGGTGCTTATCAGCAGCCCAAAGCCACGGCGATTTCTGAGCTCCTAAAGCAGCCAGCAGAGACGCCAGCGAGTGGTTTACTGGAAAATGCAGTGCATTTTGCCCAGAATTGATGGGAACCTGTGCAGAAAGGTGAATAATCTGCAGTGTGTGTCCAGCTGCAACTGGAAGAGCTTCTAACTCAGCAGGCCCCTCCGTCACTGTGCTGCTGCGCCGAAAAACTTGCAAATTCCCACTTGATCTGATACTATTGCTCAGAATTCCTGATTCCACCTTCCGTTCCCTCTTCTCCCACCTCAAGCAAGAGCACCTTAGGGTCGCTCTTGTCTCTTCCCTTCTCTGCTCGCACCCGTCTCTGCTCGCACCCATCTCATCTCCAACTCTGAAACCCCGTGGGACCCTCAATCATCTCTGCCCTGTGGCATCCAAGGAATAGAGATGCAGCAGCGGGACCTGCTTTTTGGGGCCACCGACCCTCTTGGACCTGCTCAGGCTGCTGGAGAGAGAAGGATCCACAGGCAAGGTGGGCCAGGAGCTCCAGGGAGTCATGGAAGGATACGCACAGGGGAGGCTACGCAGACCCACTGTGAGTCCAAAGGGAGGGACGGCCACATGCGAGTGCCTGGAAGGTGGCAGGGAGAGTGACAGCGATGGATGCTCATCGGGAAGCCGTTTGGGGACACATCAGAAACACAACTTGTCGCTAATCTTGCATTAAGCCTCTCGCCTCCTCCCCGCTGCTGCTGTGGCCCTGCGATGCTCTCCCCGTTGTGAAATGAATAAGGGGTTGCCAGATCAGTGGCCCGTTGCATTTAATCTTGTTCTGCGATGGGATCACAATGAAAATACGAAATGATCTGCTCGGCTACGCTTTCATTCCTGCTCGTGGCAGAGTTTCTGCGGCGGCAGAAAGACTTACCTCAAAATCAATAACAGCAGGATTATATTTTAATGACCTTCCCCAGCGCCGGTACGTGTTGGAGTCCAGGGTGTTCAAGAGGCCGCCGCTGTAGCTGGTATCTCCACCTCTAATCCGGGGAATAATGTCTTCCACAATGGCACTGTTGCTCCAACCATCTGAAAAGTTTACCCTGTTAGAAGATGTTCTGCCAGGAGATGAGCACTGAGAGTGCTCCAAGACAGTAAGTCTTAAAGGAATTGCCAGGCTCCAGATGTCTAGTGAACGCGTGCACACTGTGTCTGTAATTTTTAAAGTGCTTTGTGAATTTGGGTTATCTTAGCCTCTTAATTGCTAGTTTGGATTCCTAATAGTCTCTCTGTAGCCCTCTCCAGCTTCAGGCTGGAATCTATCCCATCACTAGCAGCTGGATCCCTGCTCAACATCTGGCTCAGCATTGACGGCGCATAGGAAATCTGTGGGACAGACCAGAGCCCTGAGGAATCTGGAACGGGATAGAAGGGGAGGGATTTGTGGATGATGTGTTTTGTGCCTGGTTCATATCTGCCTCATCCCTGGCAGCAAAAATGCCATGTGCTAGAGATGGGAAGCTTGGGGTGGACAGCAGCTTCTGCATGGGCTCAGAGAGGAGGTCTGGAGCCACCAGGGAGCCATAGACAACCAGTGAGGGTTGAGACTGAGGGAATCAGCTTATCTTACCATTTCTAAAAAATCCCTTATTTTTGCATTCAGAGGTTGACAAGGAGGCTTTCAGATTTAGTTCGGACTTGACAGCCACAATGCCCAGCGATGCACCAAAGCAGGAGGCTACGTCTTCAGAGCTCATGTCTGCAAAACAAGCACAGAGCCCGTCGAGTCCATGGCTCCTATTGACCAGAAAGACCCCCGCTTTCCTAATTAGATATTTTATATTCAGTTAATTGCACAGCTTGTTCTGGGACCCAGGGCAGAGGCCAGCTCTTTCTCTTACAGTGGCAATGCCAACGTTTTGGTGAGCCTGTCACAGCATAGCTCAGGAGGGAAAAGTCCTTACGGTAAAATTGTTTCCTCAAACAGTATTAGCAATAAATGAAGGTCTTAACACAAGCACTTATTTCCTGCTTTGGCCTAGGCGTACCTGTCTTTTCCCACACACACAAATTAACTCATAACTAGAATGAATTTTGAAACAGCAATTGAATTAGATAGGTCTGTGCTAATTTTCATAAACGAGTAGCTGATTCTTCCATCAGTGGCTTAAGCAGCATCTTCAGCAGCACCTTGCAAAAGACCAGTCAGCTGCAAGCTGCAAAACCCTCCCTGCTGCATTGCTGCCAGCCCCACTGCCACATCCATCATACAAATATGTAACAGGAGACTCATGAAGCTCGCAGAAATGAACTAACGAGGTGGTTTCACCAAAGAAAGCCATGCTGTATTTCATCCAGCCTCGCTTTACGTACCCACTTCAACAGACTGCAAATATAGGGCTGTCTTCTGCGATAGTTAAAAAATCCATTGATTACAATAAAGGCAGAATAAGGGTAAGGAATGGGTAACTTTTATATAGCTTTTTTTTTTTTTTTTTTTTTTTTTTTTTTTTTGTCAGTAGATCTTCAAGTATTTTACAAAGCAGCCGGGCAATCGATACCACAGTATTGAAAGGGAGGCCGGAGGTCAGAGGGGTTTGTGCGTCACGGCTTGATGGGCTAATGATCAAAACCGAGTCTCTGGCCGGAGCGCTGGACCAGGCTGCAGCTGCAGGAGGGGCTCTCAGTCTTGGTTGTGTTTAACATGGCACTAAAATGCCTGTGGCTTGATGGTTTTTTCCCCTCTTCTGCATGTCCTGCAGGAATAACTCATGGGAGACACACTGGAGTGGGGACTAGGATCTGCTTGTCGCCTTGGCTGGTCCTTAGCAGCGGCCTGAGAAAGGTGCTACATAGCCTGAATTCAAAGTGGTGAGAGCTGAAGCATGCTCGAGACTTCAGGGGGAATTACATCCCACTGCAAAACTGGGCCCCTGAGAAAAATTAAATGTGCAGCACTCAATTACTCGTACTAAACTGCTCAACAGTTGTAAACACAGTGGGTAAAGTTCATTCACCCAAAGCAACATGAGTGATTGCTTATCTTGGTGTCAGAGTGCCATAAAATTAAACTTGAGCAACACCCTGATTAATTGATTCACCGTGGTTCCTGTGGAGTAATTATGTTCAGCAAGGCTCTGTCAATACAATTTGCTATTGGTTGCAGCAAGACCCGGTCTTGATAAATGAAAAGTGGCTATCATTGCAAAAGAGTGGTCATAGGAAATATCGGCAATCGAGAGGAGAGTCTGACAGTTTTTTATGATGTAATTTGGGATAGTTAAATGTGTTCAAATGGTAAGATTTACTGCTGCATTTTGAATTAATCAGAATATGTGAAGACTCTTCCTAATTTACTCGGTGCATAACGATTCTCCCATAAATGTTCTTGTAATGTGCGAACGCATTATACCATTTTCAGCTAAATAAGAGAACCATAATAATCTATTTTTAAAACAAGTAATGAAAAATATTGATGGCAGAGCAACAGGGACCTTGTTTTGACATCTACATTTATTTCACTCATGACCACATCCAAATGAGCCCTTGCAGCCTGCAAGTTAGAAACAATCTGGCTGCTGAACTGCAGTCTGAAACTGCGCTGTTGAGTTGAGGTCTGTTCCCGATGTCCAAATTCAGTCGTTGCCTCCATTTTCAAAGCTCAGGTTTTCTGGATACTTGAAGTCACCTCATGCTTTTGCCTACCTGGATGCTCGAGACTTGAGCTCTTCTGTCCTGACTGTCCCATAGGGAAGGTGCCTAAATGCTTTTGCAGACACAGCCTTTAAGCATGTCCAGGGCTCACCGTTAAGGAATTGGTTCTTATTCAGAGTTTTTAGACTAGAAGCACCAACATAGACCATTTAGACCACCAACCAACATAGCTGGTTCCTTCTGGATGTGTGCAGCATCATGTAGAGCACTGCTGACTTGATAAACATGGTCTTTCTAACAGTGTCATATTTAGATTAAAATTATGCAAGCATATTAGATTAGAATGAAAATGGCATCTCTACTGGGCACATTTTTATTTTTGCTGAACTTCAACATTCTTCTTTCCTAAAACAGGGCATCATGCAGCAGTAAATCTCCTCCTCTGATATATCGTAAGCACAAGATAAAGTAAAATAATAGCCTCCCTCTGCATGCTCTTGAATCATTCTTCCTCTTTACTTGGCAGTCTATTCTCTGGAGAATTGCTTGCCAAGTTCTCATTCACTTCTACATCACTCAGTCTTCAAACTGAATAAATGATTTGAAGAAGCATCACGTTTCCAAACATTAGTAGTTTAGGAATTTGGTGAAAATTCGCTCAAGTGGTAGTTGTTTCTTGTGGAATAGCTGGCATGGTTAACACTGAATGTGGAGTGCACGGTTAGCTATTCCAGAGGGGACCAAACCATTTCAGAACCAAGACTGTCCAGCAGAACTTGGGTCTGCCCCATGGAAATGGATGGAACCGAAGCAGTTTGCACCAGCTGTCCACTGCCACAAGGGCCGTTACCCAACCTGGAATTATCAAAGCTGAATCTTTTGCAGAACAAAAACAGAGTAATGGAAAACTATGCTTTTTTTTTTTTTTATGGGAAGTGGGATCTATTGCATTGTAGATATTTTTGCAAAAGTTGACAATCTGGTTAGTGCCATATTAACTTTCTCTCACATCTTATGTTGTGATTAGAAGAAACCTTGTTCTTTGCCTCTCCAGTAATGGATATTCTTGCAGTCTGGACATCTGTGGTAGATATTTTATAAGCAAGATTTAGCGGTATAGTTCTCCAGCCTTATACTCTCTAATTTGTTGAGAAGTGGAGCTAGCAGAACTCTGTTAATCTTCAGATCTGACACTAACCAGAGTAAAGTGCCAAAGGTATTGCCAAGTGCAATGCATTATTTCCAGTTATAGAGAATGGAAACCTTCCCTACTAGGAAGCTAAATCTAAAGCGAGCTATCGTTCTTTACTCTGGATGAGTTTGCAGGCATTTTGTTCCCAAGCGATCACAAGAATGGCCAGGCCAAAGCCTCTAAGAAATACGACAAGGAAGTCTTGGAAGTCTAGGAAGCAACCCTGAGAAAAGGTAGGAAAATAAATTCAGATTTCTACAGAAAACTTCCCCAAGTTCTTCGGAAAGTCTAACACATGATGGCATGTACCAGTCAGCCCAGCTATGAGGGGCTGATGGGCAGCCTCCCTCCCGCCACATGGCTGGCTAAAGATGGTCTTGGGGAGCAGCCTGAAGCTACAAGAGTTATTCTGGTGGGCTGTACCAGAATGGTCCTCCAAATGGAAAGGAAAGGTTTAGAGAATAAAAGTATGAGCAGAGAATTTCTCATGTGATTCTAACCTCTTCTTCTCATTTCTTCTTTGTTAACAACGAGGATGTACTCAAAGACACCTCCCATTGTCCCGGATGTCATGAAGTGGGTGCCATAGTCATTGATGAACTTGGCATACATCCCGTAGTCATAATCGTCTGGAAGCTCCTCCAAGGAGAGCAAGATGTCTTCATCCAGAACGATGTTCTCCTTTCTCATCTTGAAGCGGGCAGTCTGCACCTTGGTGACACCCCTGATGAAGCCAACCTCCTGCAGGTCAGCAAAACAAGAGTTGCCATTGAAACCCTTAATGAGCAGAAAAGGGTCCCCCGCCCGGTGCAGTTGCTTGGCATGGCACCGGGCTAACCCTTGGGTTATCTGATGCTGGAGGGAGAGGTTGCCAGGGATAATAATAATGCTGAACATTCATTTAGATTGCCCTGCTGTGTGTTTGGCAGGAGCATCTCCACTGAAGACAGCAGGTGAGTCAATGCCTCAGCAAGCAATATTGTCCCCTCCCACAGCTATAGCATCACATCTGCAATACCTCAGCATTTTTTTAAAGACTTTTCTGGTCCTTATGTGCACAAAGGAAAGACTCTCTGTGTAACTGCTGGTGTATGTTAAAGGCTTGAAAACAGCACAAGTTTAAATGAAATCAGCAGTTGTCCTTTTTTTGGGAGTGCTTGTCCTACGTGTAGTATATAAGGCGCAGGGCAGAGCCAGGGTTTTAGATGCTATGGTGCTGGTGGTGTGTGAATACACTCAGAATCAGGTGAGAATTTCCTGGATATATCATCAAATCCACCACTTCTGCATCGCTCATTGTCTTGGACTCCAGCACACCAAGAACAGCCCCTCAAATGATTCTGCCAATAACTGATCATCCTTTAGCTGCAAATAGTGTGCGAGTCTAGACAAGGACACAGTAAATACTATGATGGTGACAATTTCAAACAGCTTTTAAGGGCATTTCTGCTCAGAACACCATCAAGGTAATTCTTCTTTATTGTTTCCTGCCAGCCATCAAGAGAGAAGTGGAGACAGGGCACTCTACATGGGGGAAACACTAGCATTCATATTATTAGAGTGGAAAGAGGTCATCACAGCTAGCAAACTTACTGTGAGATATAAACCCTATTATCTGCTACTCTTTTGCCAGCATGTTATTTTAACCTCTTATTACAAGTAGCATATTGCCCTGGCGTATGGCAGCTTGTATTAATTTGAACATGATATATTTGCTCCTGGAGATCATTCCCTCAGGATAGCTGGTTTGATCAACATCTTGATATTTCCTCCTCCCTCATCAAGACTTTAAGCATTTTTTTATTTATGTGCTTAATGTGGCCGGGAAACAGGATGGGGTGAGATGACATGCATGCTGGGGTCTTCATAATTCAATTTTATTCCCACTCCCTCCTTGCTAAAATGTAATGAGAACAACAAACAGGATTACTAATGATCCTACATTTGCAATTTCGTGAACAAATTAAGGTATAATTAGTATGTGTAAGAAAATGGGGGTGGGGTGCAAATAAGAAAAAAAAAACAATGTAAGTTGCAACAAGATTGTGCATGACTGGAATATATATATGTGTGTGTGTATATATATCTATTTACCTTTGCATCATACTGTGTGAAATTCTTCAGGGACCCTTTCTGGTGCGATAAAGTGAAACCAAGCTCAAACTTGAGAAACTGAGGTCCAATTCCAAAAGTAAAGCCATTTGTTTCAGATCTATCAGTTTTGAGGGCATCAAGCAGGTCCTTCGAATCATTGTAAAACTCCGTAGAGAATCCAGAATCAGCATGAGCCTGAAGTGAAAGGAGTGGACATCAGTTTTTTAAATATCTTCTTTCCTATTTCAGTCTATTTCTACTTGTTTAGCATCTCCAAGCAATGCCATTGCAACAGTAAAGCAATTACTATTAAGCTAGCTTGACACTTCCCATTATAAACCCTCTTTCTGGTCCCTTACAACTCTGCCACATCTTAACTGTTTGGATTGTTTTTTTCACTCCAGCTTGCTTCAGGATTAATTTATTTAGGATATATTCAAATGTTGCACTTACAATGGCAACTTGAGAAGATAAGTGTTGCTTTGCCTGTGTTTTAGAGGGATGGCCTTGTGAGATGCATGATAGATTTGTTTGTCAATGGTGGCCAGGCCATCTGCTTACGTGTGGGGGGCACCCAAGTTAAATCATTGCTCTGCTTGGACCAAACAGGGCTTAAACTTCCATCTCCAGCATCCCCATGAGGTGGAACCGATGGTGCTGTGAGGCACCATGAGAGCTGTCAGGAACTTGGTCTCTTTCAATCCAGTTTTGTGCCCCTTTGAAGTCCTGTCATAGATTTGAGGTGCTTTCAAAAATTGAACTTGTTGAATTGCTCCCATTTTACAAATGACCATCTTAACCCCTAGAGAGACAAGTGGCTTGTCCGAGTTCTTCATCTCAGTAATAGCAGAATTTAGAGAAAAACCTATTTCTTTTGCCTCTGACTAGGCCAGAGTAAGCAGTGCGGATGCCTGGGTGATAGAGCATGTTAGTTCCCCGGTGTGCCATACACCTGCATTTATATTATCAATTAACTGCTGTCTTGGGGACAGCTGGAGAAAAGTAAGTTGAAAGCCGATATGTACTGAATTCTCTCCCAATAAAACGTCCATAATATCTTCAGAGAAATCTTAGGGTTTCGCTAGGAAAATACTGCCCAATTTGAATATCTGGAGTACTTACTAGGAACTGATACACGTGGAAGTTGTAAGGTTTGCGGAAATACTTCTCGTCGTCTCCGTAGTAGAGACGTTCACACGCCGGGTCGTACTTCAGCTCCCGCCACTCGCCGTTGTAAACATACTCACACTGGCCTCCAAAAAAATGGGGATCATATACGTGCAGCCTGTCTTCCTGCGTTAGGATATTGTATCTTGGGAAGAAATAGCATTCAGACAGTTACCTATAACTCCTAGTTCCTTTTGCCACCAGCCACCTTTACTAATTCTGTTCTGACTCTGCACATGGTCTACCCCAGCTCTTGGGCTTTGAGTTAAACCTAAGGTTGGAGGCTGTTCTCTGACTGCTATGTCCTGACCAAAGCAAACAGGACACACACAGTCACACTGTCCCCATGATACTGGTTTGCACTCAGATGCTGGAGATGGGAAAAAAATCAGTTAAATCCTTCAGTCCGTGCCCATGCTTGAGTAGAGCTATAAAAGCCCCAGCACACAGGGATTCCTCTGGGTCCTGCGGGAGTATTTGGCAGTCGAGTGCATCCCTCTGTCATAAAGCATTTCCTGCCATTCACTCTAATATCTCAATGTCATCTCCTGCCTTAAAAATGTTCCCATTTCTCCGTGGAGTTAGAGCCCTCCTTAGGCTTGCAGGCTGCTACTCTCCCTGCTACATCAGAGCTGTTACTCTCTGAAATCGTGGTTCTTCCTTCGTATTCCCTATAATTTGGTGGCCTAAAATACAAGAATTATTCAAACAAGATAGAAGCATAGCCCCCCACAACAAGGAATTGTATTTAAAGCTTAAAAGCTGCTGTGTGTTTTGCAGCACAAACCAAATCAGAGTGAATCATTAAATGCAGTGCGCAGCAAAAATAAATTTATGACTCGATAAACTTTTGATAGATCCTGCCAAGTCCTGGGCCAGAGATCCATCTATCTCATTGAATCCAGAGAGCTTTGGGTCAAACCAAAAGGAAAGTTATGAGAGAGCCAACTGCATTTTCATATTGTCGCCCACATTCTTTAAATGAAATGAAGCATTGTCTTGGTTAAAACACAATATTTAAAACAGAAATGTCACAATTTGTCACAGATGATTTGCCTTTAATTTATCCAAGTTGCTCTTTTCCATGTATTACCTAACTGATATTTAGTGCTGGCTGGAGCAAAACTTTTACATGCTTAGAAATAACTACTTCTCCATATATTCATGTGGAGCTCAAATCTTCTGCCTTGAATCTATGGTTTGACATCCTAAATCCTGGACCGGAAATTTCTCCATAAAGCTGGGAGCCTCTAGGATACTACCTCTCCAAAGCGTACAGTTTCACTCAATATATGGCTCTCATTAAGTGGAGAAAGTTGCCCAATAGCCAGTCCCAGAAAGATGGGATATATTTTTACTGAGTATGAAGAGCTCAGACAGAGGTAGAGGATGGCTGATGAAGGCCAAGGTCAGCCAGTAAATGTGAGGCATAGCATGAAATTAAAGCTGGGACGATCCTTGCTGCCTCCACAGCTCTTACTCATGGTGGTGCCTGTTGTTGTCCAACTCCTGGAGCTGCCTTTGAGTTTTGCACAATAGGGGTTTGTGGAACCTGATACATCCTCCCTCCGAATGCTGATATTACTTGGAAAGAGTAATATGAAGCCTTAATTGTGAGAAAGGTGGGTATTGATCCATTACTCACCCTAGGGAAGCTTTTTCAGCCCCTGGGATTGGGAACAGATTTCCACAGTAGCTTTCGTTATCATCGTCCTCCTCCTCACAGTTCTCCTCATCAGACCCATCCCTGCAGTCCGCCTCTCCGTTGCATACGAGGTGACGTTTAAGGCAGCGGCCTGAAGAGCAGGGGAGAGGTGTTCTTACCCACCCCAGAAACCACACGGCGTTGAAATGATGCATCTGAGCACAGCACATCCTCAAGGGGTGCCACCCTGACTGGGACCTGGTGGCAGGAGCTTGTGGCCGTTCCACTCACCGCTCTCCGGGCACTGGAAGTCCTTTCCGCAGTGGGTGCTCCTGGCACAGCTCCCACCAGTGCCGCAGTGCTCCTCGTCCCACAGGTGCCCCGAGCACGGCCGTCCCCCAAACTGGGCGGGCTGCAGCAGGGTCCGGTGCCGATACTGGAGCAGAGGACAGAGAAAACCCCACCAATGCATATCTCGCCCCTCCAGGATGCTGCTTCCACCAGCTCACAGATGCAGTCCTAAATTCAGGGGGTGGATGACTATTTTTGTGAATTTGTGCCTTTTTTTTTTTTGTACGTTGACAGGCATATGAAATTTTACCAGTGTGGTATGTTTTTGCCCCGGAATGTAATGGGATCCAATGGACACAGCAACTAATTACAGCACTGATCCTGAAAGCAACATAACGTTTCTGATGGATTATTAATGAGAACTGCTGTTCCTTGAGCAGGAGGAAAAAAGAAAAAAAGCAAGAGAGAAAGAGAGAGAGAGGAGGCAAATAAATTTGCTGACTATATTGCAGGAACAAAAAATACGGGGTTGTAAACTCAGTAAAAAGCAAAATTACGCTGGCTACTTGAAATAACCTCTTGAGTTATGAAGACATATGTGAGATGATAACAAAAATTGAGAACGGGAGCTAATGAATGAAGGCTGCTTTTAATTTCTTTTCATTTGTGAATTCATTCTTCATTTGCATTAAGAATCAGGGGATACTTAATTAAATTTAAAGCGGAAAAGGGAGAAAGTCTTGGGCAAATATTCCAGCCTGATTCTTCCCCCATTTGCCTTCATTCTGTGTTTTGCAGCTCTGCTGTTTTACGTGAATTTATTCCTAGTTTACACCAGGCTAAGTAAGAGCCTCTCTAGAGCAAGAGCATCTCCATCATATTCGGATGAGTTTAGTGCATGCTTCAGAGTGATGAATATGTATAATATTTATAATTAATGTGTGTACATCCTCATCACAGACACATCTGAAGATAAATGAATACATTACGGTCGCGCCTTACTTTTTTCTCTTGGCAAAAAAAGCAGTCAGTCCACTCGGACCACTGGCTTAGCTGACAGTCAACAGGAGCCGGAGAATTAACATCTCTGCTGGTTCTTCTGAGGAGAGCAAGAGACAGCAGGCTAAGGTCTTTGAAGTCGTATTTTAAGAAGGCCCAGAGGCAAACAGCAAGAAACGATCTGTATGTGTATCTCCAACAAGAACCTATTTTGTAGGAAATTAGAGGCTGGTGAGATTTGGGTCAGGCCCTCAGCAGCAGTAGCTGCGTTGCTTGACCCACCCCAGGTCTGTCTTGGGCTTATTCTGAAATGGTTTTTTTTGGCTTTCCTTTTTCTGTATGGTTCTGGACTCCTGCTAGGTGTTTCTCCGGATTGGTCTGCAACCAGGGCTTGATTCTCCTGGATGGGGTGGAGAAGCTGGGAATGACCATAGCAGCGAGCTGCAACAGCAAAGCATGCAGGTATGTGGTGAATTGCCTGAGGGAAATACACAAGTACTGCAAAGAAGGCAAAAAAAAAAAAAAAACATAAAGGAAGGCTATAAGTAAAGGGAGTACTTTGCTTCAAGCTCCCTTGGATCAGGATTTCCATACAGGCACGGAATATCCGTACACAGCAGCAGTAAAACCCCCATCCTGCCTGCCAGGTCATCGTGTTCCCAGTGTCTCAATCCCAAGTTTTCTGATCCATATTTCCACAACGTCTCTCTCTGTGCTGAGAAGCAACATGTACCATGCCAGCACCACTCCTCAGCTTCCCAAATAGATTGCAGGGTTATTGAAAGCCAAAATATGATGATGATGATGATGATGGATGATGATGATGATGGTGGTGGTTTTGGTGTTTAACTCATGAGCAGCCTGTTTGGCTCAGGAGGCTTCAGACCAAGGAGAAATATTGGTAAGTGGGGAAGGAATACCCGCTGGGGATACAGGCAGATGGGTGCAGGGCCGGGGGACATGTGGGTATTGATACGTTTTTCCGCCTGACAGGCGGATTTGCAGCCTGGATCCTTCAGCCCTCTGCAAAGTGCTTAATTGGCTCACCTTCGATTGGATTTCACATTTACCTCTTCATTATTCTGCCGCGTTTGATAAGTTCATCAAACATCAAATATCTCTTCTTTGTTCATTTTCAAAAGGGATTATCGGAGTAAGCCTTCATAATTAAGTGTATCACTACCGTGGTTTTTTTTCTTTACGCCTTCTCCTTGTCTCCATGTTCCAATTATCACTGATACCTTTTTTTGATCCTTCTAAATCATATTTGCCTTTAGAACAAGCCTGAAATTAACAGCTGCAGAAGAAATCTAACCATTTTCCTATCATGACACCATAGCTTTAGAAAGAGTAACTTGTTTATTCCTTCCCTTCAAAGCCAAAATGCCACTCAGACAGCTTAATAAGATAGTTCAGGGAAAAAAAAAAGATATACAGATCTGGCTGGGCTTAGAAATTGGGTTATGTGCATGCACTTCTCTTCTATGAGCAACAGTGTGAGCTTTAACTTGCTAAATGCTAAATAATTGTAATAAAAAGATTTTAAACTAAATTTGATAAAGTAATTTTCATAAGGAATTAATTCCAAGTTCCTGAAAATGGCACACTAATTCTCATAAGGAAATGTAAGCAGGCTTACTATGCATTCTTAAAACAAAAACTGAAGTGCAGAGGGTTCATATAAGAAGGAACTGCAATGCCCACACTCAGATCTGGGTAGCTGCCAATATTTTTTCTTTCCTGGTGGCTGTTTACAGAGAACATTGTGTGCACATGCCTCAAGTGACGGCAAAATTGATGGGCTGACTGAGGAGGTTTCTATGTAAAGGTAGGTGGAAGGAATTAGTATCTCTATAGTATCTGTATGTAAAGTTAGGTGGAAGGAGACTTACCTGTGGGAAGGCAAGGCCGTGAGCGCGCTGTCTATGGTAGACGTAGCCTGATGTGACATTAAAGAGCAGATAGAGAGAACCAAAGCAGGAAGGAAGCCTGGGCTCCACCACATTGCTGTTCCGTATGGAGAAGTTTGCTCTCAAATAGCTGCAACCAAAAGCTTTCGGGCCCCTTGGTATCAGTCCTACTGGAAGATGTATCTAGCCCACCAGCCTCTCAAGTGCTGTAGTAAATCATTGACAAGGGCTCGGATCGAATCTCAGGAAATGAGGACACGTCCTGAAGGCCTTTGACCTTTGGGGACAAATTTCCAGTTTTCTGGCAAGGGGATATATCAACCTGTGCAACCGTTTCCCTGGGGAAGGCAAATGAGTCCTGCTGTGTGACTGGTGTTTCTAGTCCAGCCTGGGACTCTCCATCCAGTCGGAATGAGAAGGAAGCTCAGGTGATTTCCCACTGCAACCTCTGTGTGGTTCTGGGCTTTGCTTGGTGCTTGACCAGGAAGAGCTTTCCAGCACTGGTGGTTGGTGAAGAATTCTGCTATGAGGAGCAGAAAAGGCCACATGTCATCCAGATAGTCAAATGTTTTTTCATTTTCTTTCCCCTATTGCCATCCTTATAGCTTCCCATATCCGAAGGTGATGTGAGCTATAGCATGGAATGACCCTAACCCAAATGACCCTGTATGATCACTGCCACATGAGAATCTAAATCTTTTTTTCCTAAGGAAGTCTAGCATAAGATGCCCCCTAAATCTGAGCTTGTGTCCTCTCCCACGTGCTGCGTGAGCCCATCTGCCTGGGGTGGCTCTAATGCTTCAAGGCAGTTGGCATCTCAACACAGCCGTCGTAGCACCCACGTGCATAAAGACAGGAGAATGATGCCAACCAGAGGAACAACACCGCAGGTTATGAAGATATTAGACAAAATGCAAGAATATATTTCATTGTTAGCTGATGGAAGAGAGAAAGTCATCATTGGAAAGGCACCCGGTCATGCTCAGCCCAAGACACCTCACTCCTGTTTCCATGGGCTTGCATGTCACTGTGAAGTCCCCTCAGTGGGCTCCTGGGCACAAAAAAAAACCTATACTGTGCCTACATCCTAGTAAGATTAATAAATAAATTAATAAGTTAGTTACCTATGGACACTTGCTCTGCATTGCAGGGGTCTGCAGCTCTGGCTTTTCTTCTGCCTAAGTGGGCCAGGGGGGCTCCTGCATAACCAGCAGGTTCCCAGGGGCCACTGGAGGCCTGAACCTCGTTAAATCCCAGGGAAAGTGTAATTATTGGTGGCGAATTTGGTCCTGAGCTATTGCTGCTGTTAAACAAAAAGAGAATTGTCCCCTGCTTGGAGAAGGCTGGGATGGAAGTGTCACTTTGTTTATTCCCCAAATGAATCACCGTGCTCGTTTCAGTAGCTGCTATTGTAAATTATCAAAATCTAAGGAGCTCTTACTGTGTTATTTGAACATAACTTAAGTTCAGAATGACCCGGGGGCTTGTCTTAGCAAAACAAGAAGAATGGGACCACGTGAGTAAATTTTGCAGTGAAATGAAACAAAAACTGCCTTTTTTTGTGACCTTGGAGGAGGTTTCAACATAATCTCCCAGCCCATTTTAAACGAGGTTAAAAAAATCTTTCTTTTGCCCAAACAGTGAGAGCTCAAGCAGGCTTTTCTTTAAAAGCTGGTATTAAACCCGAACCCGGCGGCGCCAGCCAGGGTTTGGCCCAAGACCAGGGGCAAATGAGCTCAGCGTGACCAGTCCTGGTCCCCCGCGGTCCCGGCTGCTCTCGGGTCCAGCCCAAGGGGTTTCGATGGTCAGTGCACACATTGCAAAGCTGCTTCCCAGTGCTCGGTTCCCTCCTTGCCGATAAAGACAAGTACCAAATTGTAGCCGTAGTACTCACTGGACTAAAGGAAATGTTTAAAAACGTGAGCATTTGTGCTGGGTGTAATGTCTCTAAAGAAGCAAGACCTAGTGTGCATATGGGGCCAGGGCTGTAGAGCAGAGACGATGCTGAAAACTGGATGGATTAAAAAAAAAAAATGTCCTGCAGCATCCTGAGGGTTTTAAATTCTTCTTGACTCCTATAGTGCTTTGGTGAGTATTAAAACTTGGGCTTCCCCAAGAGCTAGTTCAGCCCCCTCCTAAGCAGTGCTCGGTCATGCCTAGTGCAAGCATTATAGTGGTATCAGTAATTTTGCATTTTCTTAACTTTCTCGTTAATTCCAGGACTTCTGAGCAGAGGAGACTGCAAGTGAACAAGTGATCCTATCCCTCCCTCTGCTGGAAACCCGGGATATGGCTGCGTGCCGGGCAGGAACAGGCCTTGCTGCTTTCCTGGGGATGCATCTTGTGCCCTTTGCTTTGTTTTGGAGGATATATGGACCTGCCTTTCAGCCACAACAGGGTCCCTCTCATCACCAACAGGTCACTGACTAACTGCTGTTGTCAGCAACGAGGTCCCAGGTGGCACCTAAATACAGTAAAAAATTCAGAAGAAGATGAATTGCCCTAAAACTTCCCAAGTCATCAAGGGCTGAGCCCCTTTCCAAGAGATGGAAAGACGGGAGTGAGCAAAGTTCCCAGCATCTGCTGTGGTCTCTGGTTAGTCATGGGAGCGTGGTGAAAGCCAGGGGAAGAAATACATGCTACGCTATAGGACAAATTAATATATATTATATATCATATATCATATGTCATATATCATATCATATATCATATATCATATACCAAATATCATATTATATTATTGTATTATTATATTATTATATGATGCCATGTTTATATTTATATGTCTATATGTCTATATGTCTATATGTCTATATGTCTATATGTTATATGTTATATGTTATATGTTATATGTTATATGTTGTATATAACATTGGGGTTTATGGAGTCAAGGATGTTTCTGGGAACTCCAGTGCTGGGGCAGCACTTCCCATATCTCTCTCTTTGCCTTTTTAGAGACTGTGTGGAAGGATCCACCCCGTGGCCATGTCTTATTTTTATACGAAAAACTAAATATATAAAATCATATACAATATATAAAATATATGAAATATATATAAAATATATATTATATATTATATATGAAATATGAAATATATAAAATTATATATATACATATATGTATACGTATACTTATACTTATACTTATACTTATACTTATACTTATACTTATATTTATTTATATTTATTTATATTTATTTATATTTATATATATTTATAGACATTTATACATTTATATATGTTTTTATATATATATATATAAATGTGTGCATGTGTGCCCATAGAAAAACGTATTATATGTACGCATGTGTGCGTGCATGGGTATATGCATGCATGCGTCTGCACGTATGTGTATGTCTAGGCGTGTATACGTGTTCCTGCATGTATGTGCGCGTGTGTGTGTGTGTTCGCAGGGCAGGCGGGGCGGAGGCCCTGCCCAGGCGGAGGCCGGCCTGGCCTTTGGCCCAGGTGAGCGGGCCGGGCCGCTCCGCCTCGCCGGGCCGCCACTCGGCACACGGAGGCGCAGCCATGGCCGCGGTAACGGCGCGTCTCCCCCTTCCCCACGGGGCCTTCCTCGCTCCGTGCTCTGCCTCGCGGCGCCGGCGGGTGTCTGTGCCCATGGGCTCGGGGTAGGGTGGGATGCTGCTCGGCTAGCGGCGGGTCTTGCGGCTTTTCTGTGCCGGAACGGGAGCAAAAATGGGCCTCATTTCTCCCCGGGCTGTGCAACGAGCTGCGCTGGCCCCTCTCACCGCACCGGCAGCGGACGTGCAGTTTTCCAGGGAAAGCGGCCGGTTATCCGGGCGGTCGGCAGGTGTCACGGGCTTAAACATTGACCCAGAGCTGCGGCCTCGCAAAAGCTGGGGTCGAGCACAGCAAACCGGCCGGGCTGGGGAGTGGGTCGGGGGTTTGGTGTTTGCAGAAAGCTCGGGAGAGCTCGAGTCCTCTTGTCCAGGGCTCCCTTCTCCCTCCTTTTGCCAAATGCAAGTGTTATTTGCAGGGATTGATTTGGAAATGCATTTGGAGGCATTTTAGCCGAGGGCTCTGGGTTACCTCCCACGTAATCATGGAAAATGCTTTAAAAAAACAGCCTTTTCCAACAATAGGAATAGCAAAGCAAGCAGGCGAGGAAGGGAGGCTCACACCCGTCGCTGGTTAAACGCAGGCAGGGCCGTGCCAAAGCGCGGCCACGGACGGCTCTGCCCTGCGAGCCGCCAGGAAAGGCTTGTCCGAAACCTGGCTCCTTTGCCAAGGTTTCCTTGAGAAGGGATTACCAACAAAAAGCAGCAAGGAGAAGGAAACGATACCGAACTCCCCAGTCGCGGCACTCGGGCATTTTGCAACAGCATCGGGGCACCTTGCTCCTGGCTGAGCAGTGCCCTGGCATAAATAAAAATCTATTCCCATAACAAAATGTGGGAATTTTTATTTTATTTTATTTTATTTTATTTTATTTTATTTTATTTTATTTTATTTTATTTTATTTTATTTTATTTTATTTTACTTTACTTTACTTTACTTTACTTTACTTTATTATTTTATTTTACTTTATTTTATTTTATTTTATTTTATTTTATTTTATTTTATTTTATTTTATTTTATTTTATTTTATTTTACTTTACTTTACTTTACTTTATTTTATTTTCCAAATCTGATTCATCCTCTGTATGCTCCTGAAACTCCCATTCCCCATAGGCTCCCTTCTAGATTATGCTGTCTGGGCAGCTTACCCTGCATCCCGCTGTTGACCACTAATATGAAATATAATTAGAGCAATTCAAACCTCTCCTCCAGGGGCTGTTTCTTTACATCATGCACTACCCTGTGAATGTAATAAAGTTAGTGAAAGGGGTTATTCAAGAGAAATTGTCAGTGTTTAATAAATTGTGCAATTAAACGCAATAAAACCTCAGTATGCTATTCATCTGTTCTGCCTTAACACTTAGGGCTGGGGCTTTTTTCGGAATAACGAAGTTCTGTCCTAGATAATTTTTTCCAATTTCCTCATTAGACAGATTCTTGCGCAGCTCTTACAGCTCTCCGCGCCGAACTCAGCTGCCGGATAGTGCACCTAATGTAATCACAGCATATAAAAAGTTATAGAGCAGTGTGAGGACTTAAGTAGCTCATCAATTTTTTTCTTCATATTTTCTTCTCAGTTCTGTTGAGGGCTGAATTTAAGCCCTGGTTTTGCAGGCAGGATTTTTTCAGTGCAAGACAGCCTGGGGGGAAAAAAAGGGGGAAATGAGGTTAAGTATGCTTTTAAAGTAGGGTGTCGCAGGTGAGTTGGGGTCCCAATGAGAGGATGGAGGTGAGAAGCCTTCATCAATATGTTGTGGTGGGTGTCCTTGTGGATGCTGTTCCTGGGGTGTCCCAGTGTCCTGTCAGGTGCCAGCCCCTCCTGGCTCCCACTTTTCCTGCTCCATGGCCCTGAAGCTGCCCATGAGAGCCAGGGAAGAGGCTTCTGCTGACGTTCCCAGGGGTGTTTTGAGCAGATGGCATCTAACCCTTCTTCTGCTTTCCTATCTGCACCGTGTTCTGCATGCCCTCGGTGGTGGGATGCGCTTGCCCTCTGAAAGGCCCCCATCACTTGCCCATTTCCAGCTGACCATAGGTGTTTTTGTGCTCTTCTCCCCCCTAGGAAGGCGGCACGGACTTCAGGGCCCTCCGCGCCAAGTTTCAGAGTGACGCCAACTTCTCCAGGCAGCTCCTGCAGTCGCATGAGAAGCTGGTGCCAGCCCCCGTGGAAGCCACGCGAACGCCGGGCTCCAAGGCTGGCCACGCCGCCAGTCCTCAGTCCTTGGATGGGAGAGAGATGATAATATTAAAAGGCAAGAACGAACCTTTCCCTCCTCAGCCCCGAGGGACTCCTCAACCCTCGAGACTAGTCCGGGGCAAACCTTTGGTGCAGGCAAGGGGCAGGCGTGTTAATGTGGCTCTGAGGGGGAAGAATGAAGAGCAGAAAGGCAACATCTTGGAGGAAGGGATGAACCACTCCAAGGGAAGCTCACAAAAGCCTCGACCACCCTACTGCACCGAGCAGCAAGATCCGGAGGCTGCTCCATGCCCGAAGTCCTTCCACCATGCCCTGCAGATGTGGGAAAACACTTTGTCCTGGAGTGAAAAAGCCAGTGCAACGCTCCCAACCCAAAGAGGAGCAAACATCTACGTGCAGCCTCGCCCGACGCCGCGCGCGGTGGGCACTGCAGCCACAGTGGATGGCACCAGGATGAGGACGGCTCGGAGCGAGCAAGCCCTGGACTTGCCTACATGCCAGAAGGATGCTCCACGTGGCAGCGGGACGGCTGCTTCCCCAGCTCCAGCTCTGCCCCGTGTACCCAGGAGATGCAGGAGCTGTGACCAACTGGCTGCTGAAAGCACTTCTGCAAGCGGCTCCTGCCAGCCAGGCTGCAATGTGGAGGCACCGAGAGAGCTCCCTCAACACCAGGAAGGTATAGTGAGCTAAATTCTTAACACTAAGCATGCAAACACATGAATATTTAAATCTATAAATATATATATGCATATCTTACGTGGCCCAGTGCAGTGCTCTCTTCCAGCTCGGGGAGGTGGCTTGAGGTGAGCTGGGCTCTGTCTGGGAATGCTGCTGGTGGCATCAAGGAGCATCCTTGTAGAAGCTCTGCTTTCTGGTGGTGCTCTGTGACTGCAGATACAGTTTGAGGTTGGGGTGAAAAATTGCCATGAGTCAGGACCCTCAAAACAAGGGGTCAAGTTAGACCATGGGACTGAGCCTGAAGACGGGAAATCAGCCCCAAAAGGCCCCAAACTTGGATAAAGTGAGGGTCCCGTCCCCACTGTTTGGTGGAGCAAGCAGTGATGGAACAAAACACTCTTTGAGGAACTTAATTCCAAATTAAATTTGGAATTCCAAAGGAATTACTCAAATTCCAGGAGCTGGGTGGGACGAGTGAGGAGTGTCTTGAGTTTTGGTTTGCTTTGGTCTTTGGCGGTAAGCAGGAAAGAGCAGATGAATGTGCTCATGCCGTGGGGCTTGGTCTCATGTAGACCTACAAGGGTCTACAAGGGTTTTGCTCTTAGGGAGGATAACCCTGTGCAAACCAGGGGCACGCAGCCTCCTTGGAGGGTTTGTTTCACCGGAGAACATGGACAAGAAGTAATGAAAGATGCTCCATGGGGAGGGCTACTTCCCCGGGGGTGACAACTGCCTTATGGTGCTTTGAAGCAGAGCTGGAGCCGCCCTGCTTTGAACCTGGGGTGGGAAAAGCACCCGAAGCTCCACAGAGGAGCCCACCAAAAATGAAACCTCTTCCTCCCATCGAGTCCCTTGGTCCTGCCCCTGCCAAGCCCGCGAGACCCCCGAGAGTGGATCTGGCCGCTTTCCGCAGCGCGACGCCTGCTGCCCACACACAAAAGGGAGCAAGTAAGAGACTTTGTTTTTTGTTTTTGTTTTTCTGCAAAAGTTGCTTTACACAAAACGAATACAAATTTGTGCCGTTTATCCACCTCTCCATGGCTGTGACCATGAGCTCTCTTGCAAAGGTGGTGCACTGTTGGGTGGCTCTAATATCTTCTTTAAACCTGATAAAGAACCCAGCAGCTTCAGTGAAACTACGTATACATATACATATATATGTGTGTGTGCGTCTATATATATATATATATAGTTATAGTTATTAATTTGGAAAAGAAATATATATTTTTTCCACGTTGGATCTCATCCACAATACAGAAAACCCCATTCCCTATGGATTGCAGCACCCGTGTGTTCTGAGCAATTTGTAGTTGGCTGCAAAGCAAGAGCAGCTGCTTGGGCCTCGAGCTGATCTTTATCACTCTGCTTCCATGTGAAATTCCTGCACTGCCAAGAATGCAACTGGGGAAGCCCCAATAAAACGAGCAGAAACTGCTCTGCTAATTCCCCCCTTTATGCTTTAAATACAGTCAGAGAGCAACATCTTTAAGTCTTCCAACATCAAAAAACGCCAAAATCTCAGTTCCCCCTAATAAAAGCTTACTGATGTTGCATAATAGAATATTCTGGGTGAGCTATTAAGCTGCCAAATGTTGTGTCTTTGTAGATACAGGCTTAATTATCCCCAGATATTTAAGGAGAGCGTTTGCTGAAGTCAAAAAGAAATACATGCACATTTAAGAAGATGCTTGGCTAAAATCTTGTTGGCTTTGCTGGCTTCCTGGTCTACCCAGGGTAATGGTGAAAGAGCAAACATGTTGCTGAAACTCTTTTTGGGTATAATTGCCTTATATCCATATTTTAATGTGACAAAGGAAACCAGTTAGGTTCCTGTGTCATCTTCTCCCTGTCCTTGCAATGTTGCTCAGTTGTTGATCTCCTAGAAGGGCACATGAAACAACGTCACTGATGGTGCTGGGCATCTTGTGTCACGCCAGCCTTTGCCTCAAGGATGAGTCCTCCTTGTCACACATCCTTGTCCCCCAGCCCTGTTCTCTGTAGAAGAGAGCTGTGGAAAGCGCTCCAAAAACTAACCCTCTTCTCTGCTGTATTTGTGTGCAGCTGCTGTGGAGGAGAATGCCTCAACTCCTGGAAGGTAAGTTGGACTCATAGCAGCAGAAGCATCTCCATCTCTTGATGGATGCTGGAAGAAGCATCCGTCTTCTGGTGGAAGATCCATGCATCCATGTATCCATAGTGGCTGCATGATCTGTGAAGTGTGTTTTGGGAGTCTCTAAGTGATGTCCTCCTCCACTGCTATAATTCATGGTGGCATTTCGTTCTCACGTCTGCAGAGGGCTGGTGCCTCCTATTTAAGGTAGAGCCTGGAGCCCCATTTCAGAGGTCTGTTGAAAAATAACCACTTGTGTCTGCCCAGGACCTGGCTGTTGTGCTTCTTGCTGTGACTTCAGAGCCTGCTTGAAGCTTGCTGAGATGGCCTTTCTCTAAAACACCAAGTTCTGTCCCTGTTTTCCCCTCCTCCAACCTCCCAAGGCAGTGCTGAGGGGCCTGCCCGCTGGGTTACTTGTGTCATTAGGTCTCATTTAGCTGGTGGCAAGGAAAACACCGTGCCTTTTCTGTCTGCTTAGAGTGTGGTTTCAAAGATCATTCGCAACCCACACATTGTGCGTTTCCCCCTTCCTGTTTTCCATGTACTCAAGGCTGGTGTTTGTAGAAAAGAGATGCTTTTGAGACCTGTTGCTGAAACAAAGCCTGATTGTGATCAGCAGGTGCCAGCAGGCAGCAGAAAAGGCTTTTCCTCTTGCACGTGTTTATGCAGCAAGCAGAGCCCTCACCTGCATGTCCCCATGCCTGTCACTCCGAGGTTGAGCTTGGAAGAGGACACGGTGATGAACATCTCTGAAGCAGGGCTGCTGCATGCAAGGGCCTTGATTAGGGAATCTATGATTTCCTGGTGTATTTAAATGCATGTTCCAGCCAGTATCTTACTGATATTCTTTTGGTAATGGCCCTTCAGCAGCATAAAAGCAAAGCATGGATGAGGACCTGGCTGAGATGCCAGCGAAGGAATCGGATCAGAACAGCTAGAGGGGATTTTAGCATGGAAATGGGAGAAGAGTTTGCCAAATTCACTGGACCACTGAGCTGCTCAGTTCTGCTTCTTATACAGCAAATATCTGAAACTGCTCAAAAATCCTATAAGCGTGATATAGTGTGTGTACACAAGGGGATCACAGTTTTTTCTGGAATGTCTCGGCCTTGTCATAAGGAGTTATATGATGTTCCTGGTCCTTCACTCAGCAAACAGAAAGTGGACAGCTTTGGTTTGAAGAGAAGTATTCCTGTATGTATTTTGTCTTGGATGTGAGACTATATATATGTGAAAGCAGGAGGCAGAATGACCAAATTAAAACAACAAAAAAAGGCCAAATTCTTAACACCCTGTCTGTGCAAAATGAACTCTTCCTGCTAACACCACAATACATTGCATTTTCCACATGTTCATGGCAGTGTTGGATAGTGTTTTGTTTAGCTTTTAACCTCCACTTCTCAGAAGATACCTGGCGAAAATATAGGTGTTCTGTAAGCTTATAAATTAACTGAGTTTTCTTTTGCAAGGGGAGTGGAAGGAGATTTTCTCTGGGTTGTGCTGTGTGTTGGCAGTGTAACTGTCATGCCCCACAAGGAAGCTGTCCTAGTAATACATTGCTGCAAGCTTAGTTATCTTACCCTAATACTTGTGATACGGTCTTTACGGTAGTTCACTTGTTAAATATTAGCCACGTGATAACTGGGGGAAGTGGTATAAAAATTCCAGGTAAAAGCGGAATGAGAATTCCAGGTAGAAGTGGAATGGTTGGGTTTTGTGGGCCAAAATTCCCAGGGAGTAGCCTCAAAATGAGCAATGCAGCTATTGCATCCCTGGCACCCTTTAGATACTGAGCTTTATCCTGTGGCCCCAACACAGGCTGACTGGCTCTGGGGCTGCAGGGAGGCTGGGAAAGCCCAGACATATATAATATATATGTTTGCATATTACATATGCAATAGCCTGTCCCTATATGTGTCAGCCTGCCCCTGCCTGCAGGGTGAAGGACAACAGACCCAGAACGAGGTCCCGGGGCTCCCTTTGAGCCCTGCAGACCTCATTTGTCCTCTTGAAGGACAAGCAGTGGCTGGGGGTCACCAAGGGACCTGCTTTACCTCTCGTAGAAATTTCCAATCCCACTATTTCTAGTAAGTGCTGTATCAAAGGACTTGGATTTCTTGTCCTCAAAATGCATTATTTTGTCTGATTTCTATGAAGTCAAAAAAAAAAAAAAAAAAAAAAGCACCTTATCTCTGTTTCCTCTTGCTCCCTCAGTGCTGAACTTGAAGAGCAGCATGATTATGAAGACACGGCATTGTATCTGAATCAGCCTGGGGACTCCACGAGCTCACGTGCCAGTCAAGGTGCTTTCCAAGGCAAGTCTTCCAGGCTGAGCATGTGCTGTCTCAGATAGAGCCCTTAAAAGAAGTAATATAATTCCCTCAAGCTCAGAAACACAGCAGTGCATCAGTCTGTGTGATCATAGGTGACTATCCCCACCTTCCCCTCCAAGCACCGGCAGGCTATGAGGACTTTGGGACACAGAAGTTATTGTTTTGGTGCTGAGGTGAGGCTTATAGCGAAACTGCAGTATGGAAGAGTGATGAGATACTACCCATGTGTCCAGCTGTTGAGTATGTGGCAAGGCTGGGTTGTGCACCCTAAAGTTCAGTGATCTTAAAGCAAGCTAAAAAGTATTATCTGTTCTAATATCTCTCTCCTAGAACCTGAGCAAGAGCCTCCAGAGCACGACAAGGTAGGTCTCCTCCCAGCCTGTCTTGATATTTGAGACCTGAATATGCTTTGCCTCCTTAGAAACTTTTAATATTTGCATCTGCCAGGTATGACTTTTGTCCATATGACTTTTATGATTTTTGTCCGTAAAGACTCTGAAAGAATAAATTAGAAATTGGAGAGGGGGGCATAAGAATTGATGAAGTTTTCCAAATGCACTCATGGAAGAGAGTCAGTTGCCTGGACTTCCCCTGCAAACACGTAAGAAAGGAGTAATGTTGTCTGAATGTGGGTGGTAGACCAAACGCATGCCAAGCATTCCTATCAAGGAGATTATCCATTCTTTAAGGAAAACAGCACCGGGTTGTTCTGGAGCCTCCTGTCAAAGGCAGGTTGTTGTTGGTAATCCTTCGACACCAAAGTTCTGGGAGCTTCCTTGCTTCAAGCTTCGTTTCATGAGTGAGGACGATTTTTGCAGGGAATATCAGAGAGGGAATTGCCCCTTTCTGTAAGGATGTTTCTGCTGCAGGGTATGTCCTTGCTCATCTTGGTTTTTCCCTAGTGAAAACATGACCATGGACCTTGGTAGAGTGGCAAGTAGCTGAGGGTTCCCTGCTGCTCAAGGGAAGGTCTCCAAAGATGAGCCTCAGGAAGAGCCACAGTTAGTGACGGATGGCTGGGGGCGGAGAACAAGGCACTTCATGCCAGGAAACTATGTGGCCATCCCCACTRGGCCTGGGTCCTGGCTCTGGTGAAGGATGCGGAAAGCTGCTCTTTGGAAAAATGTCAAATTCCACACTCAGGTGCTGGCTTGCAAAGCGATCAAGTTGTCCAGGAAACAGCCCTGGTTTCCAAATGCACTTATCTATGCATGATTTGCAGAGAGGTGCTCTGGCTTCTCTGTACTCTTGTTTTATGGAAGGTTGGAAAAAAATATTKTAAGGTAATAAAAAAAAMCCCTTCCTCCTCTTCTGTAAGCCCTCAGCCTGAAATTGCTTTCATGCTGATGAGGAGCTTCACCAGACCCATCCCTTGTGCTTTCATATTATCCCTATAGAGTTGATCAGTATATCTATCCCCTGCCCTCACAGATAGGGAAAATATCCTTGTCTGATGACTATTCCAACTGTAACACACTTCTGGGCTTTCTAAAGAAAATTCTAGAGAAATACTTCTTTAAATACCAGGTGACAGGAGAGGCCTTGTTTAAAAGTTTAGCTCTGTTGCAAAAAGCGTGGAGGCTGAAGGCTTTCCTCTTCTTTCTCCTAGAAGCAGAAGAGTGCTCTCTTTGCCAAATCCAGGTAATTTCCCATCCTTTCTCTCCCTTTCTCTCTTCCCATCCTAAGACTAAACTCCATTAGGGTAAAAATACTGTAACACTCCTAAAATCATTCATGACCTGGATTTGACCACTGGAGAGGATCATAGTGCTCTGCATTGGCATGCAAGTCTCAAAAATTGATTTCAGTCCAAAGCATAGGTATTGAAGTAATTCTTTTTCTTTCCTTTGGCACAAAAAATAAATTATCTTTTCTTATTGAAACCTGAGCTTTTTCAGCATAAGAAAGATACTGGGAGAGCTGGTCTCAAGTCCAAAGCAGTGCAGTAAGACAAGGACAGCACCAAATTTCACCTCACTTGTGTCAAATAGAAATGACGCTTSTAACTCCTCACAGCATTTAATTACTGTAATTAACAGTAATTAAAAGCACTTGCTGTTTTTTTCCAATAGTGATTGAAGAAGCAAGTGATAAAAGGGCTTCTAGACACCTGCCTGATATGTGATGTGATTTCTGAGAAAACCTACTCTGTTTTTCATCCTATTGCTGCATTTTCTTTCCTTGATAGCAAAATTGCATGGCCCATGAGACAGATACRACCATGGGCAAACAGTTGTATGTTCCTGCTCCTGGAAAATACAATGGTCACGGTTTGTCTCACCAAAAGGTGACCACCCCAAGTAACCAGTGTCCTTCAGATTAGGCTTTGCCCTGGCTTCTGGCATTGGTTTTTTGTGGCAACTCCAACTTTAGTCAAAAGGAAAATGAATTCTTGTTTAGATGCAGTCATACAAAATCTGTTTGTGACCTTGCTGGAGTGTCTCTGTCCTGAGTTCATTGTCATTACCTAAATTTGCAGTCCTGGAAGAGCTGTCAAGGATGAAAATGAAGAAACAAGAAGACTTGAAAGAGAGAAACAGCAAGCGAAGATAACATTCAAGGTATCATGCCCCTGAGATTCCTTTTAATAGTTAATGCAATTTGCTCCTTCCCCTTCTGCTCTTCATATCTTCAAGAAAGAAATGCAAATGTTTAGAGTCCTTAATCATCTCCTTTTCCTATCTTCTCTTTTACCTGCCTATTGTATAGCTGAAACTGCCTAAAAGACACCTAATGTTGCCAAGCAACATCTACACCTATTAAAAACCCCCATTGGGAAAGGGTGTGAAGCTGTTCTAGCCTGAGAGCGAGAGCAACTTGTATTCTAGAAGTCTGTTCCTAAATACTGCCTCACCTGAACCACCTGCCTGATCCCAGATAGGTGGAAACGACTACGTGACTCCCATCGCCCGACCCAAGCAAGATGGTCGAGGTGGGAAGACGGTGCCGCAAGTGAAGCACGGAGATGCGCCCAGTGCCCAGGCTCTGAACCATCCTACCCTGCAAGGGCTGCTGAGAGGTGGAGCAGATCGCTGTGAGTGTCTGGGGCTTTCTTGAGGGTCTCCTCACCCTTTGGTCCCATCTGTTGCCCAAATGTCTCTTCCGTATGGAAAAGATGTTAACTTTGGATGCAACTCTTGAGCCGATGTAGTTAAACCAGGGCAAAAGGTTGCGTGCCCATTTGTATTCCGGTCTGACTCATTTATTTTGGCTTTGCAAATAGCTTCCTAAGTTGGTTAACCATCTGCATAACTCAGACCGGGCTGTTTGTTTTTCTAGCAGATTGCCCTTATCCGAGGGAGCTGAAACCCATCTCCTCTGCTTCTGGTAATTTATGGGATCTCAGAAGCGTGTTTGGCTGCGGCTTGTGGTAGAAACACACGTGGGCAGGACAAGAGCCTGACGTCTCCCCTGTGCCCCTGCCCCTTATTAAGATGGATGGCTCCTTGCTCCGTCTTCTTAGTGACTCCAATGAGCTGCTTTTTTACTGCTACAGTGTCTGACCTTAGGCTTCCCTGTCAGGATGCTCTGAGATAGAGTCCAGGGGCTGGCACAGTTAAAACCAGTCATATTTCCTCCCGCTGAACACGATTCTGCAGCTTCTAAATTGATTGTGGCTGGGACTGCTGATATTGATTTGGTCCTTGGGATTTTTTTTTWAAATCACTTCATAGAAATTTTCTGTTTGCTTGGTGTCTCTTTTTGTAAGCAAATTTTTGTRAGCTTGATGGCCAGGTGAAGACTGGAGGTAATTTCTGGTAGGATTGTTTTTAGAAGCTTTCCAGATTGACTTGCTATTGCTTTACCAAGAGAGACTAGACAGGCTGATTCTGAGAACTGCTTTTTTTCCCCACTATCCTTCCCTTTTCCACTGACTTGTGTTCCAGGAGCATGCTGCAGATACTGGTCATGAGCTACAGCACCTTCTGGTGTCACATGCTCATGGTGAGACCAGCAGGAGATGAGCAAGCCTGTGCTTGCCTAGAAACAGCTTCTGTTTTTATTTGTGTGACTACATTTTTACACTAACAAACTTAAAAGAAGCCTTGAATAATGATTTACTATTGCCGGTTTAACAGAGTCTTCCAATAATAATCTTCTAATCTCATTAGGTGCAATTCATTAGGTGCAATCTCATTAGGTGAAATTATTGATGAATGTTTTCAAGTACAATTTTAAAGCTTCTAAAAACGGTTTTAACTCTTTTTGCTTTCCTTTCTCAAAGTGCCTCAGAACAAAGACTCCCCTGGAATTAGAAAATTGTCTAAAGGGTCTTATATATGGTCAAGGAATCCTGACCTATGTATAAAATATTGCTCAGAAAGGCTTCTAAAGCAAAGGCTTTCTCCTTTCTAGTGCCATACGTGCACGTAGGTGCTCCAAAACTACCTGAAAGAAGAACAGAATTGAGCCAGGACACTGAGCAGAGTCTGCAGCCATCGGAGGACGTGTATGACGATGTGGAGGCATTGCAAAGCAGACTGTGAGTATGCACCAGGACCCTGCACGATGACTTTTGGAAGCCTCCACAGATACTGAAGCAGATCCTCTCTCTTGTCTCGTAGCAATCACCCTTCAGAGACCTCAAGTTCGTTGGCTCCAGACAGTGGTACGTGCAGTTCCCTGGCTTTGGGAAGCTTGACCTGGGGGCTGCTTTGCATTTGGGCAGGTGCCTGTTAGGTGAGATGGACTCTTCATATGACATGCAGCATTTCTAGTGTCTCCTGCTAGCCTGGYTGCTCTAAATCCTTGTTATAACTGGTGGGGAACCATGCACATGTCTAGCCTGGAATTAATTTGGCTGCCTTGGAAGGCTCTGCCAGGGGAAAGTAGCATGGCCTGGATGCAATTTGTCCCGCAGGACTTGACCCATTGCTACTGAACAGGGTTTGTGCTAACGGCATTCCTTGGCTTTGAGTTTCAGGAGACTAYGAAGAAACATATGAAGATATTGAGGCAGTGAGTGAGATTCCAAGGAAAGTGGAGTAAGTTGCTGTTTATTGGCCTCTATTTGAAAATCCTGGCCATACTTCCTTGATCCCATATGCCAGGTACTGACTGGAAGCTTGTATTTCTAATGCAACTGTAAAGAAGATACTACATGGATGGCTTTCTTTTCCTCTCTGCCCCTTTCCTCTATTGACTGACACTTAAGGAACAAAAAGTAGTTAGCTGTGACTAACTCTGAAGGCTTCCCATGGGAGCCTGTAGCCCTCTCCCTCCTCGGAAATGCTCTTCTTACCAGCAAGCCACCTCTGCTTGCATCAACTGCCCAGGAAAGTTTTGCAATTAATGCTTCTCTTGAGCTAAAGCAGTTTTCAACTGTACTTAAAAACGGCTTTTTTTCTTGGGGCTGATGTGTGCCAAAAGGGGTGATGCTTATGCTAAATGCCCACATTTTAGGGAACAGGGCTGGAGATGCTGATCCTGCTTTCGAAGGGGCAGCCCCGTGTTTCTGCACATCTCCTGTCCCCTTATGGACACAGGTTCAGGTCAAACTCACACATGCAAACACATGTTAGAGCGTGTCCAGCACCCAAACCTGTCCATCTTTTCCGTTTTACTGTGCTTTCCTGTCTATTTGTTGCTGTGTGCTGCCGTAAGACCACACTCTTTATCCATCCTGCGCCTCCTCTGCAGCAATACACTGCCTTGGGCAGTGGCGGAAATTAAACTTTATTGCTAATTCACAGGAAAATAGAAGAAGAGGRTTTCGTGGTGTCGTCTGAGAGGGAGGTTCATGGCAAAGCTGGGCTGGAACCATATTCTCCAAGTCCCCCATAGAGAATCTTAATCCCTCGGGCCCTCTTGACATAAGCTTTCTATCAGGCCCATGTGCAGGATTAGCTGTGCTCGTGCACATCAAGTATTTTTAATAGTGCGTGAGCCTGTGTAATGTCTCCCATATGGGGATCGTGCTTCCTTACGGATCCTTTAACGTGCAATCCCTGAGACCTTGTAGCCCCTTCYGAAGCCTCCGAGGGACACACAGGGAGGGAACGTCCTGCTCGAGGGCCCACGTGGCAGGAACGTGTGACGAAGGGTGGCCCAGAAATGAAGTCTCATGAAGCTGCTGCTGCTTTCGTGTGCACTGAATGCTGCCCGGGAACGTGGATATGTCCAAATAGACCCGGATCATTCTGTATTTGCGTTGCAGAGAAGGGAATTCTGCTATGATGGAGGCAATTCCAGCTTTAGTTAACAGAGCAAATTTTAAAGCTAAGCAAAAGATTTGAGCTCAACTTTTATAGCTAAGGATTTATCCTCTGCCTGTGCCCATCACGTTGAACCCATCACTCATCTGCGTGGTGCTGTTAGGGCTTGAAGCCTCTTTCCAAACCAAGCTCTGAGGTCTGCTGGTTGTTTAGGATCCCTGGGGTTCCACAGGTCTCAAATTTCAGGGCCTAGTTCCTCTTAAAATTAAAGCCCCTTTCTTATTTTGAACAGGGCAGAAAAGCAGAAGAGGTTTGGAAATATATTGAAGATTGAAAAATTTAAACTGAAGAATACCAGGTTCAAGGAAAACTTAAGGTAAGAATAGGTYCTATAAGCCCTTCCCCCTCCAAATCTGAGCTTCTGTATTTGCAACAGTTTGAGAGCAGGATGTCTAAGGGYAAAGAACCCAGCTTTATTTGGAAAATCACTCCAAAATTGCTTCTCTCCTCACATTAGGACCTGCTATGGCAGACCTGGGCACTGTCCATGTGTGCCCGTGTCCTGTTTTGGGCAGCTTTGGGCTTTCAGCAGCTCCAAAATGCCTGCTCCCTGAAGCCTGCAGCAGCAGCTGCTGGTGCTCAGAGGGTTTCTGCTGTCCCTTGTGCCTCTCTGAGACCTCGGTGTGATGCAGGAGCACCAGGGAACATGGAGGCCTGGAGACCATGCACGTGGAGGCCAGCATTAGGCAAAGGCTGATGTGGCTCTGCAGGGCTGAATTTTTTATTCTAAGTGTCGTTCACAGGCAGGCTGGCAGCAGCATGTGCTAGAATTTGAAGCCTTTGGTCCAGCAAGTGAGAAGCGAGCCAAAGAGGGAATATTATTTAACCTCCCGTAGCACCTTTGGGGTCCTCAGCTTCATATTCAACACGCTGGTTTAGGCTCCAGAAGCTGACAGAGCACATGCTATGAAAAACTCCTTTCTAGCTGCCTTTTCCTCTGCACATGTAGCAGCCAGCTGCAGGCTCACCCTCACCAGCGTGACCCTCACCCTTGAGCCTGGCAAGTGCTGCTTATCTGTGTTTCTTTGGAGAAAACCTGCAAAGTTTGGAATTTGGCTTTAAAAGAAGCTAGCTGCTCCCATTGACCAGTGGTGTAGCAAGCTTGTGCTGTGTGCTGCTGCCTTGTCGCATCTTTGCARCTCTTCTTTGGTGATATCAATGCATAACTGTGTTTCTAAAAGCATCTTTTCTGTCCTCAGATTGCTTTCCAGCTCGGTACCAAATTTAGGTAAGCGCTAGACRTGCCTCTACCCATCCCATCTTCTTTCCCAATAAATTGCTCTGACTGCACCACTCAGAACTGTCTTTTCAAACCCATCGCYGTGCTGGATGTTGGGGTGGCAGCCACCGTCTCGCAGGAGGACACGTACGACGATGTCGAGGCTGGGCAGACAGGGCTGAGGTGAGGAGGGAGCCTGGCTTGCAGTGCCATGGGACGGTGACATGGGTCTGTTTTGGGCTCGTGGGCCTCCAGGATAACCTGGAGACCTCTGGCAGCTCCAGAGCCCCGTGGGATGAGGTCTGACCTGGACCCTTAGCTCCTCCAGAGGCCTCTGCATGTGAGTTTAATCTGTCAAGCAGCATCCCAAGATGCTCCTTAGATCCTACCTGGCTGGTACCGGATGAGATGCAGAGAGAGCTGCTCCCCGAAATGCCTGAAAATTCATTTTTCACAAGGAAGCCAAACTTCAGCTCTCAGCGCCGGTGCTCAGCGTGGTTCTGGCAAGCTCCTCGTCGGATAAATTACACCTAATGGGAACAGCATGGYTGGGTGTCCTGCTGCCAGATGACTGCGGCAGCCCTGTGTGCTGGCCTCAATCGCAGCCCGTGTTTGCATTTCAGTGGTGGTCGCGGGGGCAGATGGAGAGAAAAAACATGACTTTGTTCATCCCGGGTTTGTGGGGTCCTGGGGGAGGGGGAAATTGTGCTGGAAAAYGCTCATTTTCATGTGGTTCTTCTCCCCCACCTTGCAGAGAGAAGGAGGACAGATACAGAAACTGGAAGCCCAGGTTTCTGATGTCAAAAGAGGATAAGGAGCGAAGGAAGAGCAGCGATGAGGTGGAGAGGTCTCTATTTCCATGCTGTGTTTTTCACGTCGTCTAACCTTGTACAGGGTGAAACTACTGACTGCAATTCCCATTTGCACAGGGTTGCCTCGGCTAAGCTGGCCTTTCTGCAGCTTCACCTGGGCTGGAAATAAAACAATCTTGCATTGGGGAGGCAGGCATAAAAATGGGAGATAACGTTGAAAGCCTCATCCTGAAGTTGCATTGCACCTTCCTGCTGAGCTGAGACACAAGGATATTGCTGCTTTCCTTGTGCTTGGTCCCTTTCCTGCTATGACGAGTTGTGGCTGGATAAAAGTTAGCCAAAAGTGAACAATGTATTGCAGGGTCTTTTTATTTATTTGTTTATTTATTTATTTCCTGCCGTAACCTTCAAGCTAATGCCACAGCTGCAAGCTCGTGCACCAGCCACAAGAGCGGCACCTCCAGACCTCAGCATGAAAGGCCACCGCTTAAGTCCATTTTAAGACCTTGCTTTTCATTTTATGGTGCAATGTAAATGTCTGTAGCTCTGCGTCAGGACCCTGTGTTTAAAACAAGGCTGCATGAGGTTTCTCCAGGACAGCTGAGACGTGTGCATGTTCTCTCCATGCAGAAATATCTTCCAAGTCAACAAGCACAGTGCAGAAAAGAGCAAGAAGATGGCAAAAGAAGAAAAGCTGTTCAGGGAAACGTTTATGGTACGTGCCCCTCCGCAGAGCAGGGTTTGCTGTGGCAGGGGGAGAGACCAGCTCTGTATCAAACCCCAAAATACCTGAGGGAAGTTATTGGTTATAGCTGGAGAGAGGTCCAGGGGGCAGGGCAGGCTCTCTCCTCGTCTGGGATCTTCTGGGGTGCACTAAGGAGCCCCCTTTTGCCTTTGCAAAAAAATGTATTTATATATTTTCTAGGTTTATATATATAAAATATATGTATAATAAAAACACACATATTTTTATATATTATATAAATAAATAATATAAATGACTATACATAAACATAATAAATAAGATAAACTATAAAAAGTATATATTATATAAAGTAACTGCTTTTCCGCAGTACGACAAGGAGATCAGGGTCCTCAGCAGCGCCGTGGCGCAGCGCTCGGTGCCGAGCGAGCGGCCACTCGATCTGCCCGTCACAGCCGGGGAGCAGCTGGACGTGATCGATACCACGCGAGGCAGCACCGTGATTTGCCGCAATGCAGAGGGCAAATGTGAGTTGGCAGAAATTCCCTGTTTTCCCCTCCCTTTTGSAGGAGCAGGTTGTGTCCGGAGCAAGCAACAGGGCGCTCTTTGTGCCTGCCTGCTCCAACTTTATTTGCTGGAGAGATTGCTGATTATTTTTTTTTTAAATCTTTCTCTTAGATGGGTATGTTCTAGTGAAGCACTTGACCTTCAGGTAAACTCAGATTTTATTTATTTTGGTGCGTATTTATTTGGCTTGCTCTATATATGGATATTGGAGAGCTACAGAAATYTCCTTAAAACATCCAAAGCTAGGGGGAAGTTAATGTAAACAGCCAGTATTAAATATTAAATAAGTATTTCTGGGTTTAGTAGGGTGTTACAGTGATAGCAGAATTCTGATTATGGGCTAGAAAAAAGCCAACTCTGTCCAGCCATGAGTTGTACAGAGTGGAGAAGCTTGATTGCGTTCAAGTCTGTCCTATTTAGATCTCCTGCAAGAGTAGTTCATGATGGGTGCATCCTGTTAAGGAGTTGAGGRGTGTAATTTGTTATTGCAATGTTATTTTTTTGCATGGTCATTGGTCCCTCTCCTTGCAACAGACCCTGCTGATTGCCCTAAGTGACTGTATCCTCCTGTGGAGCATCCCTGGAGAGCAGCCTGGAGCCTGTGTGCCAACAGGAAAGCKCCTGGGAATGCAAATAAAGGTTTATTTTTGCACTTATGCCATTAAACRTGCAAGAGATGCTGCCTTTTTTCTTGCCATTAGTTCTTTTGAGGGTTTCTCCCTTTCTGGCAAGGTGGGAAGGTGTGTGGGACGGTGGCGGGTGCCTCATTGCAGTGACACAGCAATGACACTTCTGCATTTGCAGGGGAAAAACCCTCATTTGGGCAAAACTCACCCGTGGGGCTGCTCAGTGCCTGTCTCRCTGCTCTCTGCTCAAGTGCTGGAATTGCCGTATCCCCCCTCCAAATAATTTGGAGGCTCTTTGAAAATTCAAAGGTCTAAATTTGATTTTGGGGCAGCAAATTGGGACACTGGGTATGAGGACAACAAATATTTAACACCACGCTCRGTACCTTAAATACCTTGAGCGGGTGGAAAGGTTGACTGTTCCTTTTCCAAAAGTGCGAGAAGAGAGCGAATAAATAGMGCATTCATTCAAAATGCACTTTATTTTCGCACATCGACGCAGGCATCCCAGCTATGCGGGGGCTTCCCGGAGCAGCCCAGCAGGCGCTGCTGTGTCCGAGCTGCTCCCGCCACGCTGCTTATTTTAAGGAAAAGGCTCCTCAAAGCGGGAAGGGAAACACAAGTCGTGAAGGGTTTGTCTTGGGTGCATCCCATGAATCCCCTTTTTCAAAAGAAAGAAGTGGTTTTTTTTCTTTTTTGGTAGTGTTTTGACATGACTTTGGAAGAAAAAACTTAAGCGTGACCGTGCTGTGTAGTCCTTACCCCTCCCCAGCGCTTTTTTAAGAGCCTCTATTGGTTTGCTCATAAATAATCTAAGAAAAAAAAAAATGTAGAGGGTTTAATTAGAAATTATTAAATGTTCCAGGCTTAAGAAAACAAAAACGCTGTTTGCCACGGGGCCGTTTCAAAGCTGGCAGAGAAGACATCAGAAAAACAGGGCAAATATTGAACATTTGCTTTAAAGTCTATACCGACATTCTTATTTATTTTGCCATGTGGTTACTATTAAGTGCGTTGGCCTCTATCCATGCTTGTGAGAAGAGAGAAAAGGGGGAAAAAAAAAAAGCCCTTAAGCATGCACAGCTTTGCAAGCTTGCCAGCCCAAATATTTAGGCTTCTGCAGGCGAGATGGGCTATTTGGGGAGCTAAAATGCTTGTTTGGTGACCAGGACTTATGCTCCTTCTTCCTCATCTCCATCCTCTTTTTCTTCTGCATCTAATGTCCTGAGGTCTGTTAATGATGTACTTGGTAAACACTGCAGGTCCATCTTCTATTAGCTGCATATGCTTTTTATTTTCTGTCTTAAAGGGGTTATTTAATGAATTRGTTTGGGATCTTGTTAAGTTGTCCTAGGAAAAATCCTTCCATTGCAAGGTCACTGAGACTGCCAAAAAGTCATTAAAAATATTTAAAAAGGTCCTAAAAAAAGATCCTTTCAATTTAAATGCGTTTATCTCTCCCCGAGTGAGTGCAATCTAAGTCATAAGGGTAAGGAGGTGGCCCCGGGTCCTGGCCCCGGGTAACTGCCCCTGCTGAACCCAGGGATGCCCAAACCCTCGTGTGGCTCCTGCAGCCCCAGCAGCCTCGTTGTGCACTTAAAAATACTCATCGTCATGGGCAGGATCCGACATGTGGTCATAAGGACAACACCTGGAACGGGACGGGCTGACCTGCAGCATGTCTAGACCTCAGCATTTTTTCTGAATTTCACATTAATGGTGTCTTTGAAGCAATACTCAGTAGTGCAGTATTGTAGACAGAAACGCTTCACGTGTTGCAACTTGGATGAAGCTCCCCAGTTGAACTATGGGTTAGCTACGTTCAGGTCAGAAGTAATGAAAATTAACTAATTTTAATCCCTTTTTTTTAATATAATTTTAGTTTTAATTTTTTCAATAGCCTTGCCCAATTGTACATCCTGAGCACCTCAAAGTTCGCACTACATCTGAGGGGATTTCTACCCCTGATCCTCCACATTCCCTCCGGAGCCACCYGCTCCAACCTGCTGAAGCAGAGGGTGCACCAGGGTCTCTGAGCCCCAGAAGTGCTGCAGAAAGGGGCCTGGGGATGGGGACAGGATGGGAKCTCCTATGGGCGCTCGCCGCAGCGGAGAGGCTTTAACCACCTTTGCAGACCTCCACGGACAGACCCCCGAGGTCCTGCTCCTGCAAGAAAWTACCCTTGCAAAGCTCCTGCAAGAAAATATCCTTGCAAAACACCTACAAAACGCTCCCCGCCACGCGTTTGCACAGCCAGATTTTAAGGATTTGTCATCTCTGAGTTTATTAAAGTGCAAACGTCGGCCACGGGGAGAGCGGCCGCACGCGGCGCGGGGCGCCCCACACTGCTCTCCACCCCACAGCACGAGGTGCAGGGCACAAAACTGAACCCAGACGCTGCGCCCGCCACCACGGGTGACGTTGATTTGGTGCCACAAGCCGTGGTGGCCCAGCAGGTGGCAAGACAGGAGATGCCAAGAGCCGGGAAGCACGGTCAGACGTCAACATTTGTTTTCTGAACTTCACATGAGTGACGTTTTTGAAGAGATACTCAGAGCTTTCTGAAGTTCAGTGTTTTAACATGAGAAAGATCATAAACAGCTATTCTTTATAGGAAAAAAATAAGAAATTGCAATGGACTAGTCTGGTTGGTAGTCTCTCAGAGTTTAGGATTACCTGCCCAAAGATAGGGGCTCATGGGCACTGCGCTTATCCCGAGGTTCAGTTTTGCTTTGCACTKTAAAAGGAGGGGAAAAAAACAACAAAAAAATAAGCACTGAGGTACAAACCACATAAATATAACGTGATACAGAACACAGCAACATGCTTTCAGCAACAAGAATAAATATTACCATGTCTACAGCACCTACTTCACAGCTCGGTGAGAGGAGGATAAATAAAATCTTCCAAAACTCAGAAAACAGAGGTGAGACTTATAAATAAACTTTGATTTTTGAATTAAGGCAGCTTCAGCAGGAATTTCAAGGCTTTTGTTAAAAAACAGACTAAAATCGGTCAGAGATGTGTCGTGCTTTGCACCTAGTTCTTAGATTTACCAACCAGTTCTCCTAATTCCCATCATTGAAAATGGCAAAGATATGTGCATTAAATGCCTTTAAAGGCCAAAGCCAGTGTTTGGTCAATATGGACAATGCGGGAACTGGAAAAATAGGCCGAGCTTCCAAGCCTGCCTGTGGGAGAGCGGGGTCTCTCCTTGTTTTTACAGCAGTGTTACATCGAGGTCCAAGAAGGCGGCTGGAAATTSAGAACTACAGGGAGTGAACGATGCAAATAAATGTATAAAGGGAGGTGTAAGGAAGCCAGCTGAAAACCTGCACCAGAACTGAGCCCTCTGGAAAGGGGGCTGCAGGAGCCAGCTCATACCTTTGAACCAAAAATGGAGCCTAAAACTTGCCAGGAAAAACAGAAACAGGAGTGGGGTTTTTGGCTCATCTGCAGTGGGAGGGAGGCGAGACCCTTCTCCCTCTTCTCCTCTGGGCTAAGAGGAAGGGGAAGCCGAGTAATTGCACAGCGACTGGTGCTTCAAGTATCTCAAAGCCTGCACGCAGCTCTCGCTGGCGTGGGCACCTGCCATGGCGTGTTTGAAGGCACGGTTCTGCTCGGAGCGTGGTCTCCTCCAGCGTGGACCAAACACTCGTGATGAAGACGATGGTCATSCTGGGTGAGCGCAGCTCGGAACCGGCACCGGTGCTGCAGAACCGGTGCAAACTGTGCAAAGCAGCAGCTTCCTTTCTTGTAGCGCTGCCCACGTCCTCGTGCCCTGTCACCCCTCGGGAAATGCTCGTGCCAATGCGTGAGCTGCATGTGCATCCCTGCAGCCCAGCCATGTCAGCTCCGCACGGGCCTGCGCCTCCGGAACGGCCTCTGCAGCCCCATGGCACGGGGCTGGCTGCTCAGGTAAGCTACTGACTGGCTTTACCTGGGAAAAGGGATAAAAATATCCTGCCTTTGCTCAGGGCCGGGGTCAGAGTGGCTCTACGGTAGGCACCGTGGCATGGACCTACCGCTGGGTACGTGCAAGTGAGGCAAACTGAGCTTATACATCCATATGTGTGCACATACACACACATATATTAATGTGCATGTGTACATACAGCTATACATGCATAAGTGTTTATATGCCAACCAGTGCAATGCAGATTAGTCGGGAATTGGCTCGTGCAGGGCCCGGCGGATAAGGCTGGACCAAGCAGAGCTCTGCCCTGCACATTCTGCCTCCTTCTCCCCATGACCGAGGCGTTTGGGTAAATCTGCACGGCCGTCCTTGCTGCTGGAATTGCACTTGGAGGAATTCAAGTCTGTTTGGCACAAATACATCTACCTGCTGATCCAGATGAGCCGGCGTGSATTGAGCAGAGTGCTGGAGGAATGAGAAGAGGCAAAAACCGCGTCCTAGAAGATGCAAAGTGCCACCACGTCTTGTCCTGCAATCGAGGAATCCCATCCGCCGCCAGGAAGCAAATGCTTCTTCCTACAGGCATTTCCTGATATTTAGTGCTGTTTGTTCTGGGAGGCAGGAAAGCCCAGAGGACAAGGGCGATTTTAAGGCAAGACGTCCGTAGTGCTAAGTGTGCCCGAGCTGCAGATCGTATCCGATGCACGAGCTCTTTGGCACCTGGAATTAGCCCAAGCACAGGCGTTTCCAGGACRGGCGACTTGGCAGGATGCTGCAGTGTGATCCAAGGATGCGATAGGAACCGTATGCTGTATGATTTTTAACAGCCTTTTACTTCTCAGATGTATTTTAGAGCAGGGCAGTGGAGAATCGTGCAGGTGGGCGTGCTGCAAAGTTGCACCGTTCACGCTGATACCGACACCCAGAAGCCTGAAACCAGCCACATTTTGCCCCATCTTTTTTAAAAGAGCAAGGCCAGAGTCTCCGTTCAAGCCCAGTGTGACCCAGCAACGGCAGAGTGAAGGAGATGGAGATGCTCCCCGCCAGGCACCGCGTCGAAGCCCTTCTCCACCCCAGAGTATTTATTTCATAGCAACCAGAGCGTAAAAGCTGGTTACAAAACCTACGAGTACTACAAATATTTCCAGTGTTTCTTCTAAAAACAAAACCGTTCTGTTGTGGGGTTTGTAATCCAAACAGCGCCGTGATGCATTTATCATTTGAGAGCTTAAGAGCAAAAACTTTCCTTTTTTTTCTTTTCTTTTTTTTTTCCATTTGGAAGTTTTTTTTAAACTTTGTGCGGCTTCTGGAAAAAAAAGGAGCTGTAAAGTCACATAAGCGAGAATCATCTGTAACAAAAGTAAGGCAGTTTGGGGTTTCTTTAAAAAAAGGGACTTCTAGCTGAAAATGTCCACTTCATTGCCAGTAGATGGCAAAAAATATCCTGTATTTGTTATCGGTACCTAAAATGCTTAGTACAAAAGGCATTGTGTGCCATCCTCTTCCTTGCTTCTTGTAGAAACTTGCAGAAAATATAAATTAAAATTAAAGTGCAACCATATGAAAAAAAAAAAAACAACACATTTCCCAGCATAAAAAAAAAAACCCTCTGTGGGTCCTAAGMTGACATGAAACAGAGGGGTTACATTTTCCAAGGTTGGACGAGTGCATACCTGGGTTCAGCAGCCTTGCTAAAGCTCTCCTTTCTCCTTTGGTTCTTAAACAAARCAAACAAACAAGCAAAACCAAAGGGAAATAAATAAATAATAAATAGAAACACCCAGGATTTTTTTTGGCAAAGTTTTCCTAAAGCGTTTGCTCCTTGATGAGACCACTATGTTCCTTTGCAATCAAGTAAGTGGATTTCAATACCATAGCAAAGCCAAGCCTACGTCAGTGCTACCCACCACGACAAGCGTAAGCAATTAGCAGTAATGGGTCTTTTAAACAAAAAAAAATAAAAAAGGGAAAAAAAACAAAAAAGTCACACGTGCACTAGCATTTACCCTCGACTACAAGAATTTCACCTTAAAAATCCCTGTAACCTGTATTAAAAAATAAAATCCTATCCTTTAGATAGCCAGTAGTACAAGAAACAGTAAAACCCTGTGGAGATCCCTGCCTTATCCGTGGAGCCGGGAAGGTCCCGGTCCCCAAGGCGTCCAGGGTGCGTGAGGGTCCCTCGGCCTGCGGATTCTCCCATGGGGATTTTCCTGCGGTGCCGCAGCCGGWGGCCTTCGGAAAAGCTGGGGCGAGGAGGCAACGTGGCACTGGGACCTCCTTGGGGACAGGGAGCGCCTGTGGCGGGCGGCGTGAGCCCCGCCGATGTGAGACAGTGGCTGGCCTGAGGTAACTCATAATTAAAAAACAGAATGATTATAAAAAAAAAAGCAAACAAACAACCAAGGCAAATAACACCCTTTGCCTGCACAAGCGGGGAGCGGGTCAGTGCTTTCCTAGTGCGGGCGTGAGGTTGGGGTCCCCATGCCCGTCTTTGGGGATGAGGGTCGCAGCGTTGGCATCTGCCACTACGGCAGAAGCGTCGCAGCCACAGACCTGGTTTGTGACCCCCGGCCCCTGCCCACTTTGAGGAGCCCCGTGGCCTTGGCCAAGCACCAGGCAGGGGCAGCGGCACTCGGCCTTGCAAACCCCAGCCAACTGGGGGAGCGGCGCTTGCCCAAAACTGAAGTTTAAAAACTTAAACTTTACTACTTCACAGCCACAAAAAAGAAGAGAAAAAAGTGGGCTGTACACATTTCACCCATGAGGAGCGAAATGCAGCTGTTCCTAATTTCTTTGATGCCTTTAGAGAGGACTGCATCCTCTGAGTCGCTTTTTGGGGGTGTTTTCAAGGAGGACGTGGGTGTGCGTCGCAGAGGGCGAGGAGGAGGAGGGCGAAGCGGGAGGCCGACGCAGCAGGRTGTCAGCGAGCCAGGGCCATGATGAGGCTGGCGCACATCTCGAAGAAGTCCATGGTGTGGCTGCCGTGGCGGGGCGGCGCGGCGGGCAGGCTGCCCAGCGCGGAGCCGCTCAGCGAGCCCGCGAGCAGCGCGGCGCCCTCGCCGTCGAGGCTGAGCCGCGGGCGGTGCAGGCCGGCGGCCGAGCACGAGCGCTGCGGCGTGGACGAGCCCGACCGCGGCTCCGACACGTCGTCTGCAAGGAGAGGCGGCGGCTCAGGGGCGCCCGCGGAGCCGCCCCTGCCCGCCAAGGGCACACGGCCCCTTTTCGGGGGCTTTCCAACCCAAACGGCGCTCCTGCGACTTACCGTCRATGCTCTTGAAGTCCAGAAGGTAGCTGCGGTTGTCCACCTGGTAGAGCTGCAAGCTCATTTTCACGTAGTTGCCCGTCACCGGGTTCCTCCGGCGCACCCGAAGGTGGTAGGAGTTCACCACCTGCAACAGGGAGCTGGCTTTGAGGAACGGGATTCGAGGCAGCAGGAAGAACATTTCAAGAACAAGTCCTTTTACGTTAAGTAAATGGCTTCATATCCTATTTCCTCCTAAAAGGTGTTTTAGAGAAACATGAAAATTGGTGTTTTCTGCACCTTTTGAGCCTGGCTTGGCCTCTCTGGGCTGCTGGGATCCAGGCAGGAAGCCAGGGCCAGCATCTCCCATGAATGGGATGTTCAGACCATTAGGACAAAGATGATCCCACGGGAATGACACTGCCCATGTGCAACGCTCAGTGTTTCCCCATGTGCAACGCTCAGTGTTTCCAAAGCAGCACAGCAGCATTCACCCTGCAAAACCCTTCCCACCTGGAACAAGGATGGTATCTACCACCCTGTTACATGATGATAAAGATATGGGCCTAAATTCTCATCTTCTTACTGATTCTGACACAAAGTGGTGTAAAGTTAGGCGGGTGCACATAAGCGACGGCAGTTTCRGGGAAACAGGGCCAGCAGCAACATTAAGGACAAACTCCATGGCAGGGATTTGCTGGTCTCAGCTTGAAAAAGATAAGGGYCAACAGCCATGTAGCTCTGAAGAAACATCTAAAGCAAGTACTACCAGGGAAAATGTCAGCTGGGTTTACACTCAGCCCCCAGAAGCTCGGCCTCAAAATAGGGTTCACCTCCATGGACATCCACCACGCTGATGACACCAACGCTGCGGTTACAGCACTTCTGCACTCAGAATATCCCAGCCTCCTAATCTATAGGTCATTTAAGAAGGATTAAGGAAAAACATATCAGGCCATTGCAGGACACATGAAAGCTATGACCCAAGCAGAAATAAGAAAAGCTACTTTTCTTAGGAGTACCCAAGCTGACCTAGCAAGGAATTAGCCACTAAAATTAGAAATGCTACCAGCTAAACAAGCACTGCAGCTAAACAAGCAAAAATCATCTTCCCAGGCAGAGGTTTTAGAGTATTGGAAAAAGAACATTTGCTTAGAAATGGGTGAGGCTGTGCAAAAACACCAGTGACCACTTCAGAGGGGATCATCAGAAAACAATCCATGAAAACAGCCACCAAGCACGAGTTTCTCCTACCTTCCACTCAAAATCCAGCTGCTTCATGGCGCGGTACACTTCAGCCATAATGTCGTAGGGTTTGCTCTGGCTGCGGATCCCCAGGTGCCACTTGGCCTTTTTGACAGTCAACGGCTTTGGCTTGGTAGTATTGAGGGCATCCAAGGGGCAGCGGGCCTTGGGGCTGTCCGCGACGAGGGGCGGCATGCGCTCRGGATGCGGCTTCACGCCCGGCGGGATGTGCAGGGCGCTGTCGTCCATGAAGGAGCCCGTGGGAGGGCTGGAGGCCAGGTAGAACTCGCTGGCCTGGTTCATGATCCGCCGGTTGTCGATGATGAGGTGGTAGGCGACGGCCAGCTGGTCCTGCGGGTCGCCGCTGTACAGGCTGTTCATCACCTCCGACTCGGTGCACTCAAACTTCTCGCAGACCTCCCGGACCGCGTCGTCGTCGATGACGGTGGCGTCGTAGGAAGGGTCCTCCGGGAAGAGGTAACTGGGCAGCTCTTCTTTAAACCACTCGTGCTCCCTGGGGGGAAAGGCATATGGATGGAAAGGGGTACCCCTTACCTGAAGGGGTACCAGAAAGTCATCATTTGCAAATGCATTAAGAAGCAAGGGACTCCTGCAAGTCTCCTTAACATTAAGGACTGTGCTTTGAGCAGCATGTGGATGTGCTGATTACTGTAATTTTCATGAAATGTTCACAGGTATCACATTCATTCACTTGACTGGAAAACCACACTGCTTTTAAAGGTGAACCATTTGCTCACCTTAAGACACATTTTAACTACAGGGGTTATTTTACTACTAAGTTAGTGATCCCTATGCCAAGAGAGATGCCCAGGGTGGGCAGCATCCTCTGCCCCCAGTAGGCTGAGGTCCAGAAGAGGACCACGGCCACCCCAAGCACAGCTCCCCACCACGGGTGGCATTACCTGATGTCCTTGATGGTAGCTCGTTTGAGCGGGTCCACCTGCAGCATGTGCATGAGCAGCGTGGCGACGGAGCGGTTGAGGTATTCGGGGATGTAGAAGACGCCGCCCCGGATCTTCTTGAAGAGGGTGGGCACGTGCTCGTCGTCGAAGGGCAGCGTGCCGCAGAGCAGCGCGTAGAGGATAACGCCGCAGCTCCAGATGTCCACCTCCGGCCCCGCGTACAACCTGCACCGAGGCAATGGAAGAGCCGTCACCCCTCGCTTTTCCTCCTGCTCCCCAGCTTCTCCCCATGACAAGTCCTGCAGGGTAGATGTCCACTCTTTACCTCCTCCAGCTCCCCCATGCTGCCTCTTCATCATTAACCTCCTCATATGAATGCAACCAAACCCAATTAAGTCAAATAAAATGCTTAAGAATTAGGGTAAATAACCCTCCTAGCTGGTGTTGGCTGATCATGCTCTTTAGGACCAGCCAMAGTGTGAGGACTGGTGAGATGCCCAGTTTTCAGGCCCATCAAGATCTCTGCCAGGCTGGGGCTGTGGGACTCAGCCAACACTTTCTCTTCATTCATTGGGGCAGATTAAATGGCAGGCAGATATTATATCTCCGAGGGGCTATTTTCAGTTGAAGCTTGCGTGCTGGTATGCAAGCGTTCCTGCTTCCCACAAGCTGCAATGTCCTGCCTGGCATCTCCAAGTCTGCACACCCATTATAGACGGGCTTGACTTCTGCTTGTTTGCTTGCTTGTTTTGTTCATTTGCATCTTTTTCACAACTGATTTTTTTGGAGAAGATTTTTGGGGCTCTAAAACTGCATTAAAATGAGGAGGTTGAATGGAAGTACAAAAGTCTCCTCATGAAGCCAGATTAACCTGCACTTGCTGCTCCTGAAAAGCATAGCCTCAAACATGACCTACAAAAAACCTACAAAAAGTGGAGAAAGCAGAACGAGGCCATGCKGAACGCTACCAAAACACCTAAAGCCAGCTTTCCTTCTGAGAGTGAGAAATTCTCTGCAGAGGCCAGTGGGAGCAGTGAAGAAAGGACATTTGCAAACAGGGACCATGAGCTCAATGTCCCTCTAGCCCTGCCTGATGCCCAGTCTCACCAGATACGAACCCGAATTGTTTTGCTGCTGTCCATGTTGTTTGAGCAGTTGATTTGACTCTTAGGCCCAAATAAGCTGCTTTTTTGCCCTGAAACCTGAGCCTTTWCTCTCTGATACGTTTATGCTCTAGCCAGCCCGGGCAGCACAAGCCCTGCACCAGCTCTCCCACACTGGTCTGCCTCACAAACGTCTGGGCAAACACATCCACCTTGCCTCAGTAGTGGTGCCCAAAAATTATTTTTCACCCTCTTTAATTGGCTACACAAAYAGTAAACACCTGTTATTAATTACTCCTCCATAGTAAGTATTTTTAGGGGTTATTACAACTAGCATTAAGAAATGAGGCAACCAAGAAAGCCTCAAGATTTTGGCACCAGAGTCACTCAAATGGAGAACATAGGCTGGAAGGATTCAGCTGCTTTTCCTAGAAGGGCAAAGCTGTTTCCAATCACAAGAGCAAATGGAAAGACCATGGCCTCAAACATACTTGGATTAAGGGTGATACGTCCTACCTTCCAGAAATGACTTCGGGGGCTGCATAATTTGGAGAGCCACAACTGGTGCGTAGAAATTCACCATCTGACATCATGTTGGACAAGCCTAAAAATGACATGGTTAGATATTAGATCTCTCGCGTCAGAGAAGACCCTGGAAAGGAAYGGCAAGCTGAGCTGGTAAACCAGGCACAGAACTGCTGGTATAACGTAGGTAGATGCCTTTGAGCTGTTTCGTGCATGACAATTCTTATTATTTTTTCACATCTGAAGGAGGAATATTCATTCCGGGCTCTTGTGCTTTTCTGAGTTGCAGAACTCAGAGCACAGAGGGGAAAAACAGAAGCAATCCCCTTCCAAGTACACACTTCGTGCAGGAATGGTTTGGTCTTCTGAAATGTGTAAATCTTCAAAAGGATTTACCATTATAAAGGGGACTATAAGGGACTTGCCAGGACTGAGCTGGTAACCATTTTTTTTCAGTTGGATTTCAACCAGTGATGCCACTTTAAGGCTCCTGCCACCATTCATTTGTAAAATGAAGTAAGGCAAAGAGCACACAGTCATACTTAAGGAGAACGTGCATGAAAATAACTATATACAGSCAGGTCACCCTGGAATTAGCTGCATGGAGTCTGAATTAAAAATAAATTAACTAAATCCTTATATGAGACAACTGCACGACAACACAGCGAACATTCGCAAACTACCTTGTTCCTCCACTACTAATGCAAGCACAGGGGAAGCCTGCAAGAAATAATCCCTGAATTTTCTGGTCCCTTGCCAGGGTCACCTACCGAAATCAGCTATCTTTGCATTCATGTGCGCATCCAGCAGCACGTTCTCYGGCTTCAGGTCTCTGTGCACCACCATGTGCCTGTGGCAGTAATCCACGGCGGAGAGGATCTGCTGGAAGAGGCGCCTCGCCTCTGCCTCCTCGACCTGTGGGCATGAGGGGAAAGGGTTGGAGCAGCTCGGAGGGAGGTTTGGCTGCGAAGGAGATGAACTACACCAACCCACCACGCCAAATGCAGCAACTCTCCCCCATGCACTTTATAACGAGCTGCTGTTTCCAAGGGATGCAGCCCCYAGCCAGGGGGTACCACGGTGAAAGGAAAAAGCTGGGTGTAGACTGACTCCTAAGGAGAGCTTAGTTTTAACCTGTTTATATCTCCTTGCCCCACGAAAGCTCCCTACCTATGGGGATGCCCGTAGAGACAGATGCTAATGATTTTCCATGCAAGCTTCATATTCCTTTGGGAATAGTGGCCCTTGAAAACGCATGTCCTGATAAACCGCATCCTTAGACAGTTTCTAAACAACCTGAGGAGGCAACTCTAATTTTGGCCTTAACCTTCACCATGGTCCCTCCAGAAGTCGTTTTCCGTCTCGGCCTCCTGCTCTTCCCACGCCGCTGTTCCGGGGGATGYGGTGTCGCCACTTACCCGGCCGTGCTTGCAGATGTAGTCAAATAACTCCCCGCCAGACACGTACTCCATCACCATGAAGAAGTCGGTGGGCGTGCTGATGACTTGGTACCTGGAAAAGCCCAAGCGTGTTTAGAAATGATTAGTCAGTAAGGACAGGGAAGGGCTTTTAAACAGATTATTAGCTTCACTTCAACCCTGAAAATAAGGATTTGTTCAGATCTTGGATTTATAATTGCTTTCCATTTCTGAAGAGCCCTCTCTCATTTCACAGGGTGAATAAGAATAATCTTTCCCTTGTCTACTGAAAGGATCTCTTTTATGGACTTTTTTTTTTCTTTGAGCTTTTACATAATCCTCTGAAATCTCTGCCAGAAAAATSTACCGCGTTTAGGACTGTCCTGACTTTCAAAATGCCATTTTGGATAAGATCTGTAACAATGTCTTTTTAGCAAGAAAGGCATCCACGGAAAAGGGAGCAGGGCTACTTATTTTCCCTCATATTGAGAAAAGACAAAAAAGCTCTAAACACTAGAGGGTGCTGCGTTTGCAAAGGTATAGAAACGCTTTATGACAACACAGAAAAGCACCTCACATGACCCAAAACTTAAATATTAATCAAATATTAAAATTCTTTAAATTCTAAAATTAGAAATGAGTATGCAAGAAAGAGTATCACTTTTGCCTCAATGTTTTTTTCCTCTGCCTACATAAATATATATTTTATATATATATATACATACAAACATATGCACAGGGGGAGATGCCACAAGCAACTGAAATAAGAGCCATATGTCCTATATGGTCTCACCTTACCCCTTTCCTTTAACACACTATTTCATGACTGTACTATTTAGGGCGCCCATACTGGCATTCTTAAACTGGGTTTAATTCTTTGGCTTTAATAGTTTGTTTGACAAATGTGTGAACAGGACTTAGCTCGGGGGATGCTGGATGCCCAGCTGAGACCTCTCACTGGCGTGTTCATGAAATAATGCCAATCTGTTCTCCAATAAATCCACAGAGCTGTGAAGTTACTCTAAAGTCAACAGTGGCTCTATAGTTAGTTATTTAACTGTAGGAAGAATTTGTTTTCCCATGCCTCTAAGGCCCAGGTATTTGCTATATCTCATGCCAGCTTTAAGGCTGACCTAAATGTCAACTTATCCGTCCAGTTACCATTCAASAGCTTTCTTTTATAGAAATGCCAAAGATATTATCGAGTGCCTCATTAATGTGGACTAGCTGCACAAACTGGGGATTGAGAAGGAATCCCAGCAGCCGGCGTGCAGGTGCTGATTTACGGCTGAAATTCAGGTTCATCAGAGTGGCAATTCTGAAAACTCATGTCTGAATAATAAACAAAATTGTTCCTTTAAGCTCTGGATAATCAGGCCATTAAAACAGAAATCCTACTGACTTAAGGCCAAGGCTTCGGTGTAGGGGCCAAACCAAGCTGTAATTTCTCTGGCAAAATTTGCAGCGTGGCTTATAATACACCCCAAACTCCCAATGAAAAATAGAAAKGTCTCCCAGCGTTTCTGGAGGAGTGGATCGTGTTCCCGTGCAAGTGAGTGGGAAGACTCTAGAAAAGCCAGATTTGGCTTTTGCACGTGCAAAAAAATGTGCAAAAACATGACTGCAGGGTTTGCATTAGGTACTGCTGCAAGTCCTCTCTCCTGCAAAGACTTGGTGGCCAGAGGAGCGCGAGCATCCGAGCAAGGGGTACTCACAGCTTGATAATATGGGGGTGCCGGAAGAGTTTCAGGTTCTGAATTTCGCGTTTGATTTTCCCAACCACGTCCAGGCTCCGTATTTTCTGCCGGTTGAGGATTTTTACAGCTACTTTGTGGCCCGTCAGCTGGTGTTCTCCAACTGCCAGGAGAAAAGAGCATTGCAAAGTTACTATAGCACTGCATTGGCACAGCCAGGTAGGGGTTTCTAAGCAGAAAAGTAACTGTTGAAAGGAAAAAATGAAGCAAATTGGGATATTCTGGACACGGTCTGGACACTAAGACCTTGATACTAAGACTGCCTTTCCCTCACCTACTCTTTCCATATTTCTTCATCCCTATTCTAGGGAGAATTAAACACACTGGAAAGAGACCGATTTAAAACAAGCCAAAGGAAATGCACTTTTTTTTCTGCAGTGCAAAAACCAAAGCTGTGCAATGCAGCACCACAATGTGCCAATGATTTCCAAGCCAAATTAGACACACTGGCAAGAGGCAAATCCTGCTGGACCCCTCCAATATGACCGTTCAGATAAAGAACAGCAAACTGTATTAAAGCTGGCTTATAGCTCTCCTGTATATTATTTCCCTAGTGGACTTTGGAAAGACTGGACAGAGGGGACTTATCTGCAAAAAAATACTCGAGTAAATATGGCAGAGTGAGTTCCTAGGGAAGGTCAGTCCCAAAGCTAATTTGCAAGGATTTATAGCACATAAAGGTTACATCGGTCAGAAACAGATATATTCAAATGGCAGGGGAGAATCACCACCGTAACACACGAGTGGAGTAAATCCCCAATAAGCCAGCCTTAAATCTGGACCATCAGGCTTCTTTAAAGGGAAAAAAAAAAAAGGGATTTTCCCTGCCCAAAATAGGCCTGCAAGATTTGCATTACTAAAATGAATTTCTATTTATATTTCCTCAAGCATGTTTCTTGGCTTGATCACAAGCTTTAGGAAGACCATACTGTACTGCTAGAGCTCTAATGAATTCTAGTTTTAGAAAGGATACAAACTTTAGTATCTGATTTTAAACATGGTAAAAACACTCACCACCCATGTATATTGGGAAAACCAGCAACCACAAGTGATTTACACTAGGGATAATTCCCCTGTGGCTGGTGGGGCTGCACTGAGTTAAGAGCAGGGTCAAATAAACTCAGAATTTGATTCATTTGCTATCAATTAGCAGCCCATGCCAAAAAAAATTGCTCTGGGTGTAGGAAGGCAAACCTTAAATGGAAGCTAACATCAGAAGAAACCTGATAACTGGGTGTTCAGCCGTAAAACATCTCTCTTGAGTTACGTTTTATCAGGGTTTTCTCATGTCATATTAAAAATGGTGAGATAGAGAGAAAACTCACTGATCTTAAATGTAATATTCCCAGTGAGCCTCAASAATGCTACAAAGCAGAAGGGGTTAATACAGAGCAAACTTAGTGCCTTAGCAGCAATCTGCAGTTTTGGAGGAGATGGAGGTTGGAAGCCACCTGTGTGAGCAGGCGCAGMCGGGACGGGGTGACGGAGGAGGTTATAATTAGCTGGGAGAGATAAGACCTGCCCCGGGATGCTTTCCTTGGTAAGAGCATCCTAAAAATAAAACACTTTGCCACCCTTTGGAAATTAAAAGTGCCGCTTGAAGCGACCCTTTCCATCCCCGGCCACAATTAAAGCACTGCGTGAAAGGGAAGCAAGTAACTTGTCCGGGTTATTACGGCAGCGTGGAAAGGTTTTTGATATAACTTGGGAAGCCAAAGGAGAAAAGAAAAAAAAAAAAAGAAAAAAAAAAAAGCCATGCCTGGAATGAGTAATTACTGTTTTTAATACCGCTGCTGAACAGTTCATCTTCTTCCCATGAAGTGTTTCTAGTTCAGGCACATGAATAATTAAAAATGAACATCCTATTTGGTGCTCCACCTTTTGCTTTCGGTGAGCATTAGCTCGAGAGAGGCGGTTGTTGCAGTCCCCAGGGGCTTGTTACACCCGCTCGGGTGTCTCCAGAGCYGGAGCCAGAGAGCAGCAACACAACGTGCCCCACGGTGGGAGCCTTGCGGGCTGCTCGAGTTGCACCTGGTGGGTGCAGGGATCCTTGCAGGTGGCAGCAAGGACAATTTTYGACCCCCTGGGCAGGTGAGCAGGTCTCCAAGGGGATCTCTGGTCCAAAGGTCCTTCTCATCCTGCATCCTTCTGCCGCTGCGGCTGCCAAAAGCCCTGGGGAAGTGGGGCTTATTTCGCCCTAACCCCTGGATTAAGGGCCTGCAGGGAGCAGGATGGGCTGAGCGATAGCAATAAGAAGGGGATTGGAGCATCTGCCTTGTTTTTCCAGGACGAGCATCCYGGCAAGCTGTACTACCACCCATATACACAAGAACTTAGGCACCAGTGGCTGCTATGGGGAGGAGGAGGTCTAACAATATCAGTTTCTCAAAGAAGACCCTCTAATTTAATTATTTCTAACAGAAACCAGGAGGCACGATGCCCTGGGACCTTTAGCAGCAGACCCCGATGAGCGCTACCTCCTGCACTGGCAGAGCAAGCACTTAGGACCTCTGCAAATGCCTCAGGAGGAAYGTCAAAGTTTTAGGGAGCAGCAGCAAGCCTACGTGCTGCATGTTCCAGCTCTTATCATTGTTTTATCACGTTTTCTATTTTAATTTTGTTTTCTGCAAACTAATCTCCTGCTCTCGTCTCTCAGTCTCTTAGCTCCTCTCCTTCCTGGCGCCAGCACTCGCGTGGTCACTCACTGCAAGAGGCTTTTTCTGCAGCAGCTCTGGTTTCTCGTGGCTTCAAGTGACTCCTCAGCCACAAATCCAAGCTGTGGGAAGCAGCGTCTCATCACAAAACCCTTCCCTGCCCACCCTCTCAGGGCCATTAGCTTTTTCCTTAATGACTGTAATCAAATTGGTGATTTCTTAACTTTGGAGAGGCTGGAAACATCGCTTCTGACACAGCCTCGTGCAAGCTAGAGTTTGAAAACAGCAGCAATAAAGAAATGCAACTGATGGCATCTTTCCCTTCAGAGCTAAAAAATCAATCAGACAGAATCTCTTTTTTTGTTGTTGTTGTTTTTCTGCATTTCCTGCTAACCATGGTGAATTCAGGCTATCCGGATGCTCTTCTGATTTGGATGCTATAACTCTGTGTAAACAACAGATCTGGTTTCTTCAGCTAAGTTTCCCATCCCCAGTCCAAATTTCATCTGTCAAAGGCAGACCAATGTTCCAGTGAACATACTGGGGGAAATATATCCCTATATATATGTGTGTGTATATATATATATATGCATATAGGGTACAGCTTAGCCATAATTGATTMTGAGTTAGGAAATCTCTTTTATTTTAAATACCTCATTGGAATCTGTCATTTTTTATATTAAAAAAACCAGCTGTATGCAATGTGTGTGGTGCTCCTGCTAGCTACTACTAACAGAAAAGGCTTAAAAAAGCTTTTGSCGCTCTGCTGATACATACAGGTGATTCGGGCGCTCCTTACCCTCAGAAATCCTTGATCTGGTAATTCTCTAGGTCTATGATTTGGGGTTGAAAAGGACACTATATGTTATATTTTAGGGGCCTGGAGAGTGCTGCAGGGGGATGTGGCTCCAGGCTGGGGAGGATTTTCCCTCCCGGCCCGGCCGTGGGTTTGGGGCCGGGTTTGTGATCACCCCTCGGGGGTTTGGGGCCGGGTTTGTGATCGCCCCTCCGGGTTTGGGGCCGGGTTTGTGATCGCCCCTCGGGGCGGCCGTGCCCCAGACCGCGGGTCGCGGCTCTGCCTCGCGCTCGGGCACCCGGTTTGTGAAGTCTCCCTGGTTTTCGCAGCCGGACTCCAAGAGAAGCGTTGCATGGAATAGCAAAGGGAAAGAAAAAAAAAAAAGGAAAAAAGGCAGGGGGAAAAAAAAAAAGGTAAATTTCTGCAAAAAGATGAGTACATCTCTGCAAAACATGAGTAAATCTCTGCAAAATATGAGTAAATCTCTGCAAAAAACGAGTAAATGTCTGCGAAAGATGAGTAAATCTCTGCGAAAGCTGCACAGGGCGAAGCGAGGTGCTGCCTCCCGGCTGCCTCCCTATCCCGGCGCGCGAAGCCCCATCCATGGCTCCCCCGCGACCGCTCCATCCCGCGCTCCCAGGGCCCCTTCCCACGCCGCCCCCCGGGGGGCTCGGGGGTCCCCCCTGGCCCCGCGCTCGGCTCGCGGGGGCGGGAAGGGGGTCGCGGGTCCCGCAGGCCGCGCGGGCCCGGGCGGCGGCCGGGGCGGCCCCGCGCGGGAGCCGCCGCCTCCCGCCGCGCTACTCAGCTCTTGACTTTGCCGAAGGTGCCGACGCCCAGCGTGTCGCCCAGCACGTAGTGGCCGATCTTGACGCGCCCGTCGTGCCGCTGCTTCTCGGCCATGTTCGCCCCCCGCCGCCGGACCACAATGCACAGGGAGGAAGGGACGCCCGGCGCCGGGCGGCGGGGCGGGCGGCGGCGGGGGGGGGGGGGGGGGGGGCGGGGGGCCGGCCGCGGGGGGGCCCGGCCGGGGCACAGCGGCCGTGGGGGACACGGGCCGTGGGGGACACCGGTCATGGTGGCACCTGCCGGGGGGGGACAGTGGCCATGGGTGACACCAACCATGGTGGCACCTGCCGGGGGGGCACACTGGCCATGGGTGACACTGGTCATGGTGGCACCTGCCTGGGGCGGGGACACGGGCCGTGGGGGACACCGGTCATGGTGGCACCTGCCTGGGGGGGGGACACTGGCCATGGGGGACACGGGCCATGGTGGCACTGCCGGGGGGGGACAGTGGCCATGGGTGACACCAGCCATGGTGGCACCTGCCGGGGGGGGACAGTGGCCATGGGTGACACTGGTCATGGTGGCACCTGCCTGGGGGGGACATTAGCCATGGGTGACACCGGCCATGGTGGCACCTGCTGGGAGTGGGAGGGTCTGGCCGGGGGACACTTGCCTCGTGGGGTGAGGTCTCTCCTGGGGTGACACCAGCGCCAGRTGACACSAGCCCTGGTGACACCTGCCATGTGGGGGGTTCCCTGCCCCAGGTGACACCAGCCCTGGTGACACCTTCTGGGGGTTCCCCGCCTGTGGTGACAGCAGCTCTGGGTGACACCTGCCTGGGGTGATGTCCTCCTCCTTATGGTGCCCCTAGCTCRGGAAGGGTAGGGGGAGCCAGCTCTGGAGACACCAGCCCGGGGGTGACATTTCTCTGAAGGTGACACCCTCCTGGGAGTGGTACCTACCAGGGGTGACACCTGCCGGGGGGTCCTCCCCCTTCCATGGAGTGATGCCTTCCCTAAGGGTGATACCCTCCTTMGGGGTGCACCTGCTGGGAGTGATGCCCACCCTGAGGATGACGCTGTCCTTGGAGGGATCCCCCTGAGGGTGACACCCTCCTTGGGGTGCACCTGCTTCAGGTGACACCATCCTTGGAGTGACACCCTCCTCAAGGTGCACGTGCCCTGGGACATCCTTTGGACCGGAACGTGTTCCCCTCCACAGGGGTGGTTTGGGATGGGGACAGGATGGTGGCAGGACCAGACAGACCAGCAAAATGCCATGTTGGAGCAGACAGATGACAGCAGGACCTGCTGCACCAGGGCGAGACATCGGGCTTAGGGGTGGCCAAGCAGTCACAGGGGCTTTCTGACAGGTTGATCCCCAGCTCTGTTAATATAAGCTGGTTCTTTGAACACTGCTCTTTTGGACGTGTTTGAGGAGCGTTCTGCCGTATTTTAATAGCGCTGATTCCGATTTCCCCAATACCAAAGAGCACAAGGCCGGCACAAAGGCAGCCTGCCCTGCAGGAGATATTGGGAGAGCCATTAATACGAGTAACCACATCGGAGCAGGAACGAGACGGCTGCTGTAATGCCAAACCACATGGAGGGCGAGGAAACCACTCTGAAAACGACCAACATATGACAAAACACAAGAGAAACAGTACTTACCAATAGCAATATCTCCTTGTCTAAACCTCGCTGCAGCCTCCTGCAGAGCCCATGAAAACGGTGTCTTCCCAGGGCGCTGGAGTGGGTGCTGGTCTGTGCAATCGTGCATTCTGTGGCTCTCCGTGCCTTTGCAAGGGGCTTGTCGGAGCTGTTTGCATCCAGTTTCGGCAAGCCTGGCTTTGCCCCACCACAAATAGGTGGGATCTCACCCAGGATTTCTTGACCTCCTAAGGCCAGTACCTAAATGGCCCTGCGGGCTGCAGCAGCACGAGTTCATCTGCAAGCCACATGCAAATGAACGCAGACGTGCAGTTCACACAGCTCCGTCCTCACTTTTGCAGGGTCGTTTGCATGTATAACACGCTCATGTGCACCTTAAACCTTCCTTGGTGTTTCTTATACTGCTTCGGATTGCGCTTTATTAAAGCCCAGCCTAGTACAACCACCTCAAAGCCCAGAGGAGAAGAGCTTTCTTGGCGCACACCAGCTACTCCTTTACTGCATTCCTCCCCAAGCCATTATGCATGCAGGAGTTAATAGAAATGGAGAATTAAAGCAGTGCAATCAATATTTGTAATTCACAGGGTGCACTTGGTGGGTGCTAGGTTGTATTTGTGCACGTGTCCGTGGAGATACCGAGTGTCCCGTGGGAAGGAAGGGAGGTGCGTTGCCAGCAGCACGGCGACCAGCACGAGCCCGAGGGGCTCACGCAAGACGTGCGAGGAGGGAGAAGTGTTGCTAGGAGATGCCGACTCCGGTGTCTGGCGAAGCGGCGCCTTTATTTTTGGTGTAGATCACACGAAATGGCATTCGCCTGGGGAGCGGGATGGAAATCTCTTGCCTCGGCTTGCGCCCGTCTCGGCGCAGGAGCTGCCAGCGCCCGGGAGTGTTGCAGCTTGTTTAAAATAGAAATCAGATGCAAGCTGGGTGCTATTAATTAAATGCTAATGTAACCGTGTCTCCTAGGAGCATCCYGGCTGAACACCGTGCCTGGGGTGCAATCGCTCTGCAATCTGCCTACTTTTTCYCGCTCTTGCTCTCTGCCCCTGTTCCGTGGCGCTGAGTGTGGGTGCAACGGGTCCTGGCGGGCCGAGCTCCTGGGTAAGTCCCAGCGCGGCCAGAGAGGAACCTGCAGCCGTGGGGAGCGATTAGACGGCACTGTTGGGATGCGAGGCACTTGCAGGGGCTCTCTGCCTTCCACAGATGGAAACAGGGACGTCCTGGCAGCTCCAGCGGAGGAAAACACCATCCCGGAGCACATTTGGTGTCTGTTCAACCTGCTCTTGAGCACCAGACACCACGGGCAAGGGGCTCTCTTAGCAATGCGCTTGGATGCTAGCATTTCTCACGCAGACTCCCAGCTCAGCGTAGGAGCAGTTGGAACCAAAAAGGACCAGGGATGTCGTGCATCTGTTTGCACAAAAGCGCAGGTTCTGGAGCGTGCAGTCCAGCCTTTCTAAGTGCCCTAAATCTGTGGATTTTCAGAGGGATTTGATGTCACTGTCTGTTTGGAGGAGATAGTTAATGAGATAACGCAGCAGTGGGTGCACTGAGGCATGTGAAATGTTTTCTGAATGTTTCAGAAACTACATGCATCAGAGGCTTATGCACATCAGATTTGTAACCAAGCAATTTCCATTTATATTATGTAACTGGTGTTATTTATCAAACCCCAGGTACTGGCCAAGAGCAGATGCTGAACCGCTATGTTATAGCTTTGGAAATAAACTTTTCTGGGGTTAGTTATTCCAAAACAAGCTAGTGATGAGCTGGSCGTGATGTAATATAGCAACGTCCAATGTGGAAGTATGAATTCCAAAAAATGTCATGCATAYGGGCTCAGAGCCTATTACGCTCTCTTTTCAGCATTAAGTGCAAATTTGGACTGTATGGCAAAATATGATGCTCTGGTGGGAATGTGTATAGAAAATCCTCCCTCAGCCAGGGTGGGAAAGGAGAAATAATGAGAGTTCTATTTCTTACATTGAAAATAAAACACTCAAAGTATATGCAATGTGCTAAACATTTAGTTAATGAGGAGATTGCTGGAAGGATACTGCTTGCATGTGCAAGCACTATATACAGACACGCTCTACAAGCAATCAGAGAGACAAATTTTCTCAGTGATTTACTCCTTTGACAGGGGAATGAAACCTCTGAATTGGATTTTTAAGGGCACGAAAGAGTAACTAGATACTTCAACCCATTAAAAGTCAACGGTGATGAATTTCTGTTTTTTGGAGGGGCATTTATCTTGTTTTCTCYTGGCCATTTTTAAGAGCAGATATATCTACTAATCCCTTTTCTGCAGCCACAGAATTGATCTTTCAGGCTATAGCCCCAAGTCTGCAGCATGATATGGATCTGGGGAGAGTTGCAAGGGAGGACTCTTGTTTCCATGCTGCCTGATGCTCCGTTTTCTGCAGCTCCTGCAGCCCGGCACGGCTGCGAGCCCCGACAAATAACCCCTGTGAGGGGAAAGCACTGACTATGTGAGCAGCTTAGTGCATTTTTTAGCGGCTTGCCAAGTGCCCTTTCTTGTAGGGCATAATCTGCGAGCCCTGGCAGCCCTTCCCTTGGCTKTGCCTAATGGGATCAGAGCTTGCTGGCCAAGAGGCCCTCCGAGTAGCCACACTGCTTCCCTGCACCATGCAGCTTGCACCATGAGCATGCCTAAAACAGGAGAGAAGAGCTCAGTTGCTGCAGGCTAAAAATCAGGCTAAAAAGTCAAACCTTCACCTCTGCTGCTGCCAGCTCCTGAGGTTTAGGTGCTTTTTTTTTTTTTTTTTTTTTTTTTTNTTTTTTTTTAACTTCAAGCTCCCTAGCTGGGAATCTGCCAAAAGTCAGATCTCTGTTTTTAACCCAAAAGCTCCATTTTTGGCAGTGCTGAGCTGCCAAGTGACAAAGCCAGAGGGATTCCCAGCCACCGTGTGGGATGTGTCCTGCAGAGCATCCTTGTCCCTTGTGTGGTACCCAGGGCCCTAGGAGCCACTGAGCTTGAGAACAGCAAGAGCTCTGATGCATGTTCTCATGCATTACCTTCAATCAGCTATTTTAAAGTAAATCCAGATCCCTTCTGGGTTGATGCATTTATTGCCGGGCATTGCATTTTAGCAGGTTTTCTGCATCTGCAAGAGCTCATCCCCAGGGTCCCTGTGCTCCTGGTGCTGCTGCAACGGGCAGCACTGCTGGCGTGCTGGTTTTAATAAGCTTGCTGTTTTCGGAGAAATGCCTCTTTTGGGGGCCAGGAATCGTCCCTGCCCTCTCAGCTCCGTGGTGAAGTGAAAAAGGTTCTCTTCAGTCAGCTGGGGGAGAAGGGGAGGATTTATGAATTGGCAAAACACATTCCCGATGCGGAATAGGCACATTCCGCCTTCTCTGCCTGCTCCATAAAAGCAGCGTTTGTGTGGCAGATAGCCAAGGGCTTTATGAATACAGCTTTTACTTTCTCCAGCTGCT